ACCCCAGGAGGTCAAGGAGCCCAAGGAGGTCAAGGTTCTGGGAAAACCATTGGGAGTCAAGTATTTTTACAATGAATATTACTTTTTTTTTTTTTAAAGAAAGATGTATTCATTTATTGGGAAGTCAGAGTTATAGGGGGTGGTGGGAGGAGAGAGATATCTTTCATTATTCCCCAAGTGGCTGCAACAGCTGGAGCTGGGCCAGGCTAAAGGCAGGAGCCAGGAGCTTCTTCCGAATCTCCCACGTGGGTGCAGGGGCTCAAGCACTTGTGCCATCTTCATTGCTTTTCCCAGAAGCATTAGCAGGGAGCTGGATCAGAAGTGGAACAGCTGCACCACAACCCCAGCCAATAACGCTTCTGTGCCCGCCGGGTGCTGTCCTAAGTGTCGTGTGTATTGGGCCATCTGAACGATACAGTGGCCCTAAGCTGGCTCTTGCAAGGTGGGGGAGTTTTTTGTATTTTTTATTTGTGTGTGTGTGTGTGTGTGTGTGTGTGTGTGTGTGAGAGAGAGAGAGAGAGAGAGAGAGAGAGAGAGAGAGAGAGAGAGAAACTGCCAGACACCAGTTCACTCCTCAAATACCCACAATGGCCCCCAGGTGGTGCCAAAACAAGGCACCTGGAAGTCCATCCAGGTCTCCCATATGAATGGCAGAGACACAGTTACCTGAGCCATCACCTACCTGCCTCCCAGGGCCCGCAGGGAGCTGGAGCCAGGAGGTCGGAGCTATGGGTATCTTAACTGGTATCTTAACCGTTAGTTCAAATGCTCACCCTTCAACTTACCATTGCATTTGGGTTTCCCAGTGAACTTGACACACCCTGGTCTGAGCAAGGTGATGGGAAACCTACAAGGCTGGGGCAGTCCCCCGGGAACCAGCATCCTCTGGTGGAGTGGTTAGTGTTCCAAGGGCAGGGGAGGGAGCAGGGAGAGCACTGCCTGATCCTGTCCCTGGAGCTGGGGCTTTAGGTAGAGGGACAGAGCCTCCGCCACACAGGGACTTGGCTGAATTCTTCTTCAGACTGGTGGGTGGATCTTGGGAGCTGGTGGGCGGAGCTTGGGAGGGGACTGAAGGATGAACAGAATTCTCAGGTGCACCTGGCCCAGGGACCTCCCAGGTTCTGCTGGGGAGGGGGTGGTCAGTGCAGGGCAAGCTGGCTTCTCCCCTGGTGGGGGGTGGTGGTGGTGGTGGTGGTGGAGTGTACTTCTAGAGAACCTCCCACCCCCTTGTCACATTCTCATTTGTTCAGAATTAATAGACTTTGAGGTCAAAGAGAATGTCCTAAGATTTGGAATGTTAAGGTGCCCATTTGTCACATTGAAAGCTGGGTAACATAAACACCACTTCTCAAAATAGCATCCAGCCCCATTTAGTACTTTCACGATGTTTGCAGCCATCATTTCTTTGTAGCCCTTTTTTTCTTTAATGATTTATTTATTCATAAGTCAGAGTTACAGTGAGAGAAGGAGCGATAGAGAGAGGTCTTCCATCCACTGGTTCACTCCTCAAATGGCTGCAACCACGAGGGATGGGCCAGGTCAAAGCCAGGAGCCAGGAGCTTCTTCCAGGTCTCCCATGTGGGTACAGGGGCCCAAGCACTTGGGCCATCTTCCACTGCTTTCCCAGGCCATAGCAGAGAGCTGGATGGAAGAGGAGTGGCCGGGACATGAACTGGTGCCCATGTGGGAAGCGGGCGCTACATACCCACTACACCGCAGTGCCGATCTCATTTCTTTCTAGTTCTAAAGTCACAGGCAGATGTGCCTATGCCCCTGGTGAGTTGAAAGTATCTTTAGTCCAAAGTGCATGGAGTCCAGCTAACCGATTGCACAGCAGCAGTGTAAGGTGGAGGCTGCGTCCCCTTGTGGCTATGGAGCTGACTGGGAGCTGTGCTCCACATCACTGCCCAGCAATGCAAGAGACTGGAGTAAAAAAAAAAAAAAAATCCAGATGCAAAGTTGGCTCCTACTGCATGCACATGGTACTGCAAGTCAGCCCATTATCAGTGGTAGCCAGTCTGTATTGTGCTTTATTCCAGTGCTGTTGCAAAAAAATATAATTTAAATATATCCCTTTTTTTTAAATGCAGGCAGTGGTCCAGGTAGGGAAAAATTCCTCAGATCCATGAAAGTCACCGTTTCCAAATTACCCTGTACCTATGAGATTGGGAAATAAATGGACAGCTTTTCATTTTTATTTGCATTTTTAGTTGATGTTTATGAAAAATGAAACTAACATTTCCCATAGCCTTCTAGTTTCCATTTTAGATTTTAGATGCTTTTTTTTTTAATCAAGTGAAAGGACACAAAGATAGAAGAGCGCTCCTGGCTGCTGGCTCACTCCCCCAGATGTCTGCCAGTGTGGGGCTGGGTCTCCCACGTGGGCAGCAGGGAGCCATCACCTGCAGCCCCCTAGGGTATGCTCTAGCAGGCAGCTGGAGCCCCAGGTAGAACACAGACTCACATCTGGGCACTTTGCATATAGTACGCAGGTGCATCCCGAGTGGCACCTTAACCAAACAGCTATGCCAGACACCTGACATATTTTTTAAAAAGACAAATAAATAAGTGGGCCTGGGAAAATGCCCAGATGCCGAAGAGCAGACACAAAGCCCTGACCTTCGGGAATACCTGATACCCCAGGGAGGCTCAGGAACTAGCCCCACTCACCTCCCAAGGGACCTGTAGCTCACTAAGCCACTTCCGCGACCTCCACTGCAGTCCCAGGGCGCCCCCTGCTGTGTGCCAGGCACCTGCTGATTCTCGCAGGCACCCAGGTGTATTACTTTGTGCCCCGAGGTGCCTGGCTAGGGCCCTGCCTTACATTTGTTCTCTGTGAGAGCCCCTCCTACTCCCTGCCTTGTTAGAGCCTTGGAATGACAAAAACCCGCCCGTCTTTTGTCTAGTTTTCTGCCCCGCCACTATGCAACCACACCGTTTCCTGTCTGGACTCCTTGAACCCCAGGCTGGGGCGCAGGTGTCCGGGTGGGCGGGGCGTGCGTGCGCAGGTGCATCCCCAGCAGCCTGGCGCGCCCCTGCCCCCCCAGCTTCCTCCAAGCGTCCTCCCCCCCCCCCCCTTCGTCCCTCATTATCTCTTCTCTCTCCTCCCAGGCCCGCCTCTGATCGCTAGCTCTGCGGACCCGGCCTCTGTCCCGGACCAAATAGACGATGAGCAGCCACGGCAACAGCCTCTTCCTGCGGGAGAGCGGCGGGCGGCTGGGTGGGGCGGGCTGGCCGGGGCGGCTGCGGGAGCGCCTGCGGCAGAGAGCGCTGCGCACGCGCCTGCAGCTGCAAACCTTGACCCGCGAGCACGTGCTGCGCTTCTTGCGTCGGAACGCGTTTATCCTGCTGACCGTCAGCGCTGTGGTCATTGGTGAGCACCTGTCCGCCCCGGCCCCCCTCTCCCCCATACTGGGAATTGCACCGTGCGCGTCTCTCCTGGCTCCATGCCCGGCCCCCTCGCACCTGCCCGCAGTTGCAGACACAGCTGTGTGCAGGGGCCAGCTCTTGTGGAGGAAGGGCTTCATAAGGTCCATTAAAAGCTGTGTATTTGGGCCGGCGCCGCGGCTCACTAAGGCTAATTCTCCACCTTGCGGCGCCGGCACTCCGGGTTCTAGTTCCGGTCGGGGTGCCGGATTCTGTCCCAGTTGCCCCTCTTCCAGGCCAGCTCTCTGCTGTGGCCAGGGAAATGCAGTGGAGGATGGCCCAAGTGCTTGGGCCCTGCCCCCATGGGAGACCAGGAGAAGCACCTGGCTCCTGCCCTCGGATCAGTGCGGTGCGCCGGCTGCAGCGCCCCGGCTGCGGCGGCCATTGGAGGGTGAACCAATGGCAAAGGAAGACCTTTCTCTCTGTCTCTCTCTCTCTCACTGTCCACCCTGCCTGTCAAAAAAAAAAAAAAAAAAAAAAAAAAAAAAAAAAAAGCTGTGTATTTGGCTGGAGCCATGGCTCAATAGGCTAATCCTCCGCCTGCAGTGCCGGCACTCCGGGTTCTAGTTCCGGTCGGGGTGCCGGATTCTGTCCAGGTTGCCCCTCTTCCAGGCCAGCTCTTTGCTGTGGCCAGGGAGGGCAGTGGAGGATGGCCCAGGTGCTTGGGCCCTGCACCCGCATGGGAGACCAGGAGGAAGCACCTGGCTCCTGGCTTCGGATCAGTGGATCGCAAGTGGAGCGGCTGGGACTTGAGCTAGTGCTCAGATGGGATGCTGGCACTGTAGGCTGTGGCCTAACCTTCTGTGCCATAACACCAGCCCCATTTTCCCCAGCTTTTTGAAGTAATGTGTATATATTCAGTGATATATTCAGTGCACACACACATGTGCACGTATGCGTTAGTATGGCCACATTTTTACAGGTGCAAACACAGAAAATCATGCATGCACCCTTGAACACATGTACATGTATGACATGTTCATGTGGGTAAGCCCATTCTCTCACATGCTCCAATACACATGCACCCTCATGTGCAAATACAGTAACACAAGTCACACCCAAGAAAAGACAACATGTGTAACATGTGTGGGCTCACACATACATGCTCACCAACAGACACACATGGCCACAGATGCACACGAACACACAGACTCCATACATCAACACACATGTAACATGTGCACACATGTGTAACACGTACCACACATACATCGTTTCTCCCCTGTACATGCATCCCAGTGCTGACACAAGTATACTCATGGAATGGTTCTGTCTCTCTTCCACCTACACACCTTTCTTGGGGGTGGACAAGCTCTGCCTGGGGCTGGGTGACTCAGATTCCAGTCCACGGGCCCCTGTCTTTGGCTCTAGGGGTCGGCCTGGCATTTGCCTTGCGTCCATACCAGCTCACGTACCGTCAGATCAAGTACTTCTCCTTCCCCGGAGAGCTTCTCATGAGGATGCTACAGATGCTAGTGCTGCCACTCATCATCTCCAGCCTGGTCACAGGTGAGAGACCTGGGGCCACCGTTGGCCTCCAAAACCTGTCCAAGGCCCAGGCTTTCCCAAATACGGGGCCATCTCCCCAGGATGGCCCCTCAGATAAGGAGCCTGCCCTTAGCCCGGATCCTGATCAGCCGCAGGTTGACCTCCCGTGACCCACACTTATCTCAGCAGAGTTGCATCTTCAAGGGGCTCAGGACCTCCTGGAGGTGAAGAAGAGGCTGTGGAAGGAGGTGTGGCATCCAGGGAAAGCAGCTGGGATAAGGGGCGAGGTGCAAGCATGCAAGGTGGACGAGAGGGCAGGGCAGGTTGGTGGGCAGAGCGTGGGATGGGCATGTGGATGGATTATTCAGAGGTCCACAGGCGTTTTCTCAGGAGGGCTTCTCAGCTTTGATGGCCACGTTGCAACAACTCGGTTCTGCTGGCATTGGACAAGACACAGTCGTGGACAAACATGGTTGCACTGTAGTCAAACTTTATTTACAAAAAAACAAAAAACAAAAAACAAAAAACAGGCAGTAGATCTACAGCTAGTCTAAATTCCAGTCCATGGAGCCCTCTTGAAGGACATGTGGCTAGCCTGGCATTTGCCTTGTGCCCGTACCAGCTCTCGTACCCGCCAAGATCAAGTACTTCTCCTTCCCCAGAGAGCTTCTCACGAGGATGCTCCACTCCGCGGTGTAGTTTGCTAGCTCCCCGGATCTGCCAATTGGGGATGTAGATTCAGGCAGAGAAGAATGGTTTTCTTAGGTCTCCCAGGAGCAGAGCCCAACCTGGGGGGGATATTTGCACAAGGAGGTTTATGGAGGAATAGCTCCAAACAGGGAGAAGTGAGGGATGCAGGGTCGGGGGAGGAAGAAGCTAACCAAAGGTGTGTGATGGGGAGTTACGCCCTCAGCCTGGTACCCTACAGAGGGGAGCTCCAAGGTGTGAATGGCATCGTAGAATTGTCCTTCCAATTCTGCCCCTAATCTGGCCTTGTGCAAGTTGGGCGGTTGACCATAAGCTTCCCCTGGGGCTTGGCTGGGCAAGGCGGCTCCTGTGCTGCTGAGGGCAATCTTTGGCAGCTGAGCTGCCAGTAGCAACCAACACCTGCAGAAACAGGTGCACGGATGGGCTTTTAAGGGCATTTGGGGGAAGCACCAATAGTATCTACTGCAGAGGGTGTGTGTTGAGGTGGGTTGGAGGGAGGTGTGGTTTGGGGGGTGGATAGTGGGATGATGAGGGTGAACGAATCAAAGGAAGCTTAGGGTGCAACATAGGGTTCCATGGAAGGTGGGTGAAGATTGGAAAAGTTGGCTTGGGGAAGATGGAAGGTTGTAGGCTTGGTAGGGTTGGTGCTTGGGGTTACGGGTGCAGGGGAGTGCAAAGGACACATGGAAGACAGAATGGGGGTAGAGTGGTGGGCTGGGTGGATTCCGGGGATGAGGCGGTGGGTGGTGGGGTCTGGATCGGATCCATCCGTAGGCAGCTGTGCTAGCGTCCCGCCCTGCAGGGATGGCGTCGCTGGACAACAAGGCGACCGGCAGGATGGGCATGAGAGCGGCCGTGTACTACATGGTGACCACCATCATTGCTGTCTTCATCGGCATCCTCATGGTCACCATCATTCATCCTGGGAAGGGCTCCAAGGAGGGGCTTCACCGCGAGGGCCGCATCGAGACCATCCCCACAGCCGATGCCTTCATGGACCTGGTCAGGTGCTGTGCTCCCTCATTTTGATGACTGGGGACAACCTCTACTCAAGGAGTGACCCCCGGGGGAGGAGTGGGAGGAGGTGGGCGACACCCATTGGCCCTGTTTTGTTTCCTCTGGGGATTCTTGGGCATATCCACCCCTAGGATGTGAGTTCTCCACACCGAAGCTGGGGTGGACGGAACTGCAGCGCCCAGGGGTGCAGTGAGAAGAGCAGGTGTCTACTCAGCTCCATTGGAGGGTGATGGATTCTCTCAGAGCAGCCAGAATCAAGGCTGGCCATAGCTCTTCCCACCTGCTGGTTCAGTGCTCAAAACGCCCGCAACGGCAGGGCGCGGCCACGCTAAAGCCAGGGACCAGGGACTCATTGCAGGTCTCCCATGTGAGTGGCAGGCATCCAAGCACTTGAGCCATCACCTGCTGCCTCCCAAGGTACACACATCTGTAGGTTGCTGGAACTGGAAGCAGAGCTGGGACTCAAACCCAGGCCCTCCAATATGGGATGCCGGCCAAGTGGGCACTTGATTCCATGTCTTACTGCAGTGTTTAAACTCACTAATGTAAGTGAGGCACTTTGCTGAGTGCCTGGCATAACGTATTTGTTCAGGTGTTGCCCCGATTGTGGTTGTTAGCGCTACGTGGTCACATGACCTCACCTTTTCCAGGTCTAACCTCTTTCCTTCCTCTGGTGTTTTTCTGCAGAAATATGTTCCCACCCAACCTCGTGGAGGCCTGCTTCAAACAGGTCAGGGGGCGGAGCTTGGAGGCTGGGGCGGGGCTTCCTGTGGGGACGGGCTTGCTGCTGAGTGCACAGGCCCAAGGATCAGGGGTGGGCAAGGAGGGTACTGGGAGAGCTGTGGACAGGGGCTCTTGAAGGAGTCTGGGAGAACCAGTGCATTTCTCATTGGTGTGTGTGGGTATCAAGAGGGGTTAGCGACACGGATAGACGGAAGGCTACCTGGATATGGGTGGGAGAGCCTGGGATTTATGACCACCCTCGGTGGTTGAGGGGAAGGGTCTGCCCCCAGATTCAAGCTGGGCACTGCCTGAGGGGCTTGTGAAAATGCGGAGTTTGTATTCACCCTTCCGTGCGTGGGCTTTTCAGCCCCTCATTCAGGTATGCATGTGTTCATCCATTCCTTTACATTTTTATTAGAATTTGTATTAAAAATTAATTAATTAATTTAGAGAAAAAGAGACAGAGAAGGAGAGGAAGAGAGAGATAGAGATAGAGAGAGAGAGCTAGAGCTAGAGACACAGAGACAGAGAGAGAGAGAGAAAGAGGTCTTCCATCTGCTGGTTCACTCCTCAAATGGCTGCAATGGCCAGAAATGGGCCAATCTGAAGCCAGGATCCAGGAGCTTCGTCCGGGTCTCTTATGTGGGTGCAGGGGCCCAAGCACCTGAGCCATCTTCCACTGCTTTCCCAGGCCATAGCAGAGAGCTGGATTGGAAGTGAAGCAGCCAGGACTAGAACTAGTGCCCATATGGGATGCCGGTGCTGCAGGCAGCAGCTTTACCCGCTACTCCATGGCACCGGCCCTGGAGATACTTCTTTGACATATGGATTTGGCTATATACCCAGGGGGACACTGGCTTATAAGGCAGTCCTATTTTTAACTTTTTTGAACAAGATTTATGTATTTATTTGAGAGGCATAGTTAACTAGACAGAGAGTTTTTTTTTTTTTTTTTTTAAGATTGATTTATTTGCAAGGCAGAGTTCTAGAGAGAGAAGGGAGAAACACACAGAGTTGGGGAGAGATCTTTCATCCTCTGGTTCACTCCCCAAATGGCTGCAATGGCCAGACTGAAGCCAGGAGCCAAGAGCTTCTTCCGGGTCTCCCACGAGGGTGCAGCAACCCAAGCACTTGGGCCATCTTCCACTGCTTTCCCAGGCACATTAGCAGGGAGCTGGATCAGAAGTGGAGCAGCCGAGAATTGTGCCCACATGGGAAGCTGCTGGCATGGCAAGTGGCAGCTTTACCCTCCATGCCTCAACACCAGCCCCCTATTTTTAATTTTCTGGAGTGCATTCATACCATTGTCCATCATGGCTCTAAAAATCCCTTCATTCATTCCTCTGTGCATCGGTCCGATCATTCATTCACCTCTTCAGTTTTGTCGAAAAAATGTCCCAGGTTGTGGGAACCAGGAGTTCGTGTCCTCAAGGCATTTCTGCAGGGGGTCCTGAGTCCCCTGTCTCCATGTTTCAGTTTAAGACACAGTACAGCACAAGGGTGGTTACCAGAACCGTCGTGAGGACAGAGAATGGCTCTGAGCTGGGCGCCTCCATGCCTTCCCCGTCCTCGGTGGAGAATGGAACCAGCTTCCTGGAAAACGTCACCCGAGCCCTAGGCTCCCTCCAGGAGGTGCTGAGCTTCGAGGAGACGGTCCCCGTGCCTGGCTCTGCCAACGGCATCAACGCCCTGGGCCTGGTGGTCTTCTCTGTGGCCTTTGGACTGGTCATCGGCGGCATGAAACACAAGGGCCGGGTCCTCAGGGACTTCTTCGACAGCCTCAATGAGGCTATTATGAGACTCGTGGGCATTATTATTTGGTGAGTGTGGACCTGAGCCCCTGAGGGGAGGGGGGAGCCAGGGCCGGGAGGTCAGGCTGCGGGGAAGCTGCTGAGTGGTTTGCTGGGGAGGGGGTCTGGGGCCGAGGTCATCCATCTATGTGTTGGTTAATTCGCTAACTCGTTCATTCATTCATTTCCTTCTGCAATGGTCACTTTGCTTGTTTGTTCATTCACTTATTCTTCTGTGCATTCATTCATCCACTATTTTTTAAAGATTTATTTATTTATTAGAGAGAAAGAGAGAGAGAGAGAGAGATCTTCCATCTGCTGGTTTACTCCCCAAATGGCCAAAATGGCCAGAGCTGGACTGATTTGAAACCAGAAGTCAGGAGCTTCTTCCAGGTCTCCCACGTGGGTGTAGGGGCCCAAGCACTTGGGCCATCCTCCACTGCTTTCCCAGGCCTTAGACGGGAGCTGGATCAGAAGTGGAACAGCCTGGACTTGAACTGGCACCCACATGGGATGCCGACATTGCAGGTGGCGGCTTTACCTGCTACACTACAGCGCTGGCCTGTGTTGTGTGTCTTTATATTTTATTCATCTACACTCATTCTTGCATGCATTGTTGCATTTTCTCAAACATGTATTCACTTAAAAATCTATTTTAGTTAAAAAACAAAGGGGGCTTTTATAGTATAAAAATATTATAACATAATAAATATTATAATAACAACATGTTAAATACAGAATATAATATGATGTTCAAAATATGTTTATATTGTCAAATGGCTACACTGGGCTCATTCATGTAGGTGTCACCTTACATATTAATCTTTTGCAGTGAGACCTGCTGTCTTCATGATTTTCAAGTATACTAAACATTGAACTATAGTTATAGTGTTGCATATTTTAAATATTTATTTTCTTTATTATTTGAAAGAAAGAGTTACAGAGAGAGGTTAGAGAGAGAGAGAGGTCTTATATCTGCTAGTTCACTACCCAAATGGCCATGACAGCCAGAGCTGGACTGATCCAAAGCCAGGAGCCAGGAACTTCTTCTGGGTCTCTCACATGGGTGGCACTTGGGCCATCTTCTATTGCTTTCCCAGGCCATAGCAGAGATCTGGATCTGAAGTGGAGCAGCCAGGACTTGAACCGGTGCCCATATGGGATGCTGGTGCTGCAGGCCAGGGCATTAACCTGCTGTGCCACAGCACCGGTCGCCAGTGATGCATCTTTTGACTCACTTCTGCCTCCAACCTCCCAGCCCCAGTATTCCCATCCTACTCTTTGCTTCTATGAGGCCAACCTTTTGAGAGTCCAACATGGGGAGGGGAGGGCTAGGATGGGGAAGTGGCTTGATAAGGTCGTATGCCAGAGATGTAGGGGTGTTTCTGCCCTTTAGGGGAGCTGGGGTGAGCAGGAGGAGGAAGTAGAATAGGCGTGTGGAGTGCACACCTATTTCTTAGTGAGTGTTTGGGGGGATGTGGGATGGAGTCAGGTACTGCGAGGTGGGCTATGTTTGGTTCCCGGGTGGGCTCTTGACCTGGGAGGGGAGGTCTCCCGAGAACCCTGACAAGGCATGTGGCTCACCCAGGTACGCGCCTGTGGGCATCTTGTTCCTGATTGCTGGGAAGATCCTGGAGATGGAAGACATGGCCGTCCTCGGGGGCCAGCTGGGCATGTACACGCTGACTGTCATCGTGGGCTTGTTCCTCCATGCCGGTGGCGTCTTGCCTCTCATCTACTTCCTCGTCACCCACCGAAACCCTTTCCCCTTCATTGGGGGCATGCTACAAGCCCTTATCACCGCCATGGGCACGTCTTCCAGGTATGGTCTCCTCCCCACACCCCGCTTTCCTGGGGCCACCTCCAAAGGCTCCAAATGTCTGCAACAGCCAGAATGGGCCAGACTGAAGGGCTGAAGCCAGGAGCCAGGAGGCAGGAACTCCATCAGGATCTCCCACGTGGGTGGCAGAGCCCTGGAACTTGGGCCATCCTCTGCTGCTTCCTCGGGCTCATGAGCAGGGAGCTGGATTGGAAGTGGAGCACCTGGGACCCCAACCAGGGCTCTGACACGGAATGCTGGCATTGTAACTGGTGGCTTAGCTTGCTGTGCCACACTGTCAGTCCCCCGTGTCATTTCTATGGCCCCTAATGCTGATGGGAGAACTTTCCTTTTGGCTCGTGCCCAAGATTGATGTCCCTACACCCAGGAATTAAACTCATCTCGTTGCCATTGAGTTGGACACTCCAAGGCCGTAAGGGTGAGTCCAGGATTCTCACTGCCCAATGTAAAGCTGGCCAGACAGAGCACGTGTCCTGTGAATGGGCTGACGCCAAATAAGATGTCCACTCTTTTTTTTTTTTAATCCCATTAAAGGAATCAGTGCTGTGGCATAGCAGGTAAGGCCCCCGCCTGCAGTGCCAGCATCCCATATGGGTACCAGTTCAAGTCCTGGCTGCTCCACTTCCGATCCAGCTCTCTGCTATGGCCTGGGAAAGCAGTGGAAGATGACCCAAGTGACTGGGTCCCTGCACCTGTGTGGGAGATCCGGAAGACGCTCCTGGCTCCTAGCTTCAGATTGGCGCAGCTCTGGCCATTGTGGCCATTTGGGGAGTGAACAAGCAGATAGAAGAGCTTTCTCTCAGTCTCTCCCTCTCTCTGTCTGTAACTCTGCCTGTCAAATAAATAGAAAAAAATCTTTTAAAAATCCCATTAAAATTGTTTGAAGGACACACACACACACACACAGAGAGAGAGAGAGAGAGAGAGAGAGAGAGGATCTTCCATGGGATAGTTTACCCCCCAGATGCCTGCAACAGCTGGAGTTGAGACAGGAATGCAACCCAGGTCTTCCACGCGGGTGGCAGGGACCTGACTCCTTGAGCCATTACCTGCTGCCTCCCGGGGTGCACCTCAGCTGGAAGCTGGAATTGGAAGCAGAGCTGAGACTGCAACCCAGGAACTGCAGTACAGGATCTGAGTGTTCCAAGTGGCAGCCCAACCACTCCGCCAAATGCCTGCCCCTCGATGCCTACTCCTTTGGCTAGACTTGCCAATCAAGTCAGCTTCCCTTCTCTGTGAGGTGGTGGGAAGAGAGACTGATGGGGTTAGGGTAGCAAGGTCTCTCTCTGTCTGGGGAATGGGGGTCCTCAGGAAGACCCCTCTCTTATCCCCCAGGGATAAGAGCTCAGATCTTGTTCTCAGTGTTCTCAAGGGGAGTCCTCCGTTGGCTACTCCCTTCTCAGCCCCCATCTCTCTCTGCCCCCTGCCCCCAACCCCAGCTCTGCGACTCTGCCCATTACCTTCCGCTGCCTTGAAGAGGGCCTGGGGGTGGACCGCCGCATCACCAGGTTTGTGCTGCCTGTGGGAGCCACTGTCAACATGGATGGCACTGCCCTCTACGAGGCCTTGGCCGCCATCTTCATTGCTCAAGTCAACAACTACGAGCTCAACCTGGGGCAGATTACAACGATCAGGTGAGGGGACTTGGGGCTGACCTGCACAACAGGTGACATCGTCAGCTGGCCAGGGAAGGGAGGGAGCCCTACTGCAGGACAGAGGAGACCTCGAAGGTGGGAGGAGCCTGCTGTGAGTCAGGCTTTGCCTCCTGATGCTATGGGAGCCGGTGCTGGTGGGTTTTCCTCACGTGCTATCCTGGGCGATTCCTTTGTCAAGAGCTTTGTTTGTTTGTTTTCTAAATATTTATTTATTTGAGAGGCAGAGTTACAGACAGAGAAAGGGAGACACAGAGAGAGAGGTCTTTCATCTGCTGGTTCACTCCCCAAATGGCTGCAAAGGCCAGAGCTGAGCTGATCCGAAGCCAGAAGCCAGGAGCCTCTTCCAGGTCTTCTGTGCAGGTGCAGGGGCACAAGCATCTGGGCCATCTTTGACTGCTTTCCCAGATGCATCAGCAGAGAGCTGGATCAGAAGTGGAGCAGCTGGGACTCGAACTAGCATCCATATGGATGCCAGTGCTGCAGGCGGAGTCTTAACCTGCTACACCACAGCGCTGGTGCCCATGGAGAGTTTTTCAAAGTGTGGCTGAGGCATTCTGATCGCCCTAGGCTCCTGCTATAATAAGTGCAGGTTCCTGGGCTCTGTCACCCAGATGTTCCAATGTGGTTCTTACAGGCTAAGCCACCCTAATCCCAACAAATCCTGAGAGTCCCTGAATCTGAAACATTTTGAATGTGGACATGTGGGAAATCCCACCCAATGGTTCAGTGGACACACAAGCTTGGACTTATGCACACAGTCATCAAAAAATAGGTTGAAGGTATATATGAGATATGAATGAATTTCAGTATCATCCCTTAGAAATCTCTGTATGTAAATATTCAAAAATCAGTCCCAAATCTTAAACACTTCCAGTCCCAAGTATTCAGATAAGGCAGAGGTAGGGATGTCATTTGGTGAGGTCCTGACAAGGCAACCATGGCCGGGGGGGACTTGGAATTCAATAAATCTTTAGGGGCCGGCACTGTGGCAAAAGGTAAAGCCACCACCTGCAGTGCTGGCATCCCATATGGATGCCGGTTTGTGTACCAGCTGCTCCACTTCCAATCCAGCTCTCTGCTATGACCTGGGAAAGCAGTAGAAGATGGCCCAAGTGCTTGGGCCCCTGTACCCACGTGGGAGACCCAGAAGAAGCTCCTGGCTCCTGGCTTCCAGTTGGCCCAGCTCTGGCCGTTGCAGCCATCTGGAGAGTGAACCAGCAGATGGAAGACTTTTCTCTTTGCCTCTGTCTCTGTCTGTAGCTCTGCTTCTCAGATAAATAAAATCTTAAAAAAATGCATTAGGGACCAGCGCCGTGGCTCACTAGGTTAATCCTTCGCTTGTGGTGCCAGCATCCCATATGGGCACCGGGTTCTAGTCCCGGTTGCTCTTCTTCCAGTCCAGCTCTCTGCTATGGCCTGGGAGGGCAGTGCAGGATGGCTCAAGTGCTTGGGCCCGTGCATCCGCATGGGAGACCAGGAGAAGCACCTGGCTCCTGGCTTCAGATTGGCACAGTGCTGGCTGTAGCGGCCATCTGGGGAGTGAACCAACGGAAGGAAGACCTTTCTTTCTGTCTCTCTCTCACTGCCTATAACTCTACCTGTCAAATAAATTAAAAAAATGCATTAAAAAATTCTGTAGCAGGCTAATTTTTAAGTGGATCTTGTTAGTGTGAGCCATGTTGTTAATGTCCAAAGGGGCCTTGGCATAGAAATGTTCCCACTCCTGAGACAAGGGATCTTCCACCTGTAGGAAAGTTATGGCAAACATTGTCACGTTCAGGTCTTGCCTCCACTGTCACTTTTTCAGGGAAGCTCTGTTTAAAATTGTACGTCTGGACTTTCCAAGGACAAGACATTTCCCCAAATAGCACCATCATCTGTCTTAAGACGTGTTGTACTCCAGCCTGCTGCTTGCTTGCTTCTCCCACTACTGTTCTCACTAAGTTCTATTTGTGTGTCGCTCCCCCACTCGCGGAGGAGCGGCACTGGACGCTGTTTTCTTTCCCCTGTCCTTCCCGGATTTGCTGCTGCTCCCTGCCTCCGCGGAGGAGCGGCACCAACAAGCTCTCCGACCAACTCTCTTAGGGGGGCCCCGCACGTTGTCTCTTTCCCCCTTTTATAGTCCTCTCCCACCAATCCGTGCTCTGCTGCCCGCGTGCTGAGCACGCTGCTTTCTTCCAATCAGAGGTTGGATCAGGAATCAGCTAATTGACGAAGCAGCTGTGTAAGATTTGTTTACTCCCTCTCAGCGCCATATGGTGGGACAGTTAGTTTCAGTCCACAGTCTCAGTACTTATTTGTCTCCCGGGCACCCCGCCATGTTGTGGGAGACGGATCCTGCTCCCCACATTTGTGCAGGGATTTTTTTTCTACTACAGTTGGATTCTAACTTAGGATGGTTCCATGCCGGCTGTTTCTGACTGTACAATGTTGCAAAAGCAATAGGCGTTCCGTGGAAACTACAGGTGTTGAATGTGGACCTTGTCCTGGGCTTGCGGTGGGTGGCATGATTCTGCATCATAATGCTGAACAACTGTGGTAGCGGCAGCTCCAGCCCAGCCTTGCAACCACCAGCGCTCTGTGTGAGTGCTGAGCTGGGATGGATTCGATTCATTTTCGACTTACGATTTATTGAGTTTTTGACTTAGAATGGGCTTATCGAGACAAACTTTGTAGTAAGTGTAGGAGCTTCTGTAGGTATCTAGCATGTATCAGATGTTCAATAAATACATCTTGAATGAACAGATTTATTGGACATTCTGTAGCCAGTCTTGGTAAAATGCACATCCTTTCCTAAGGTAACCAAGGATACGGGAAAGAATGAGATACGAGGGGTCTTCAGAAATTAATGGAAAATATGCATCATGAAAAAAACTATGCATGACTTTCAAAAGTTTTTTTTTATTTTTTTATTTTTTGCAGCAAAATAAGCCAATCTTTTAAAGAAGTTTATCTATGGGGCCGGTGTTGTGGCCCAGTGGGTTAAGCCACCGTTTGCAATGTTGGCATCCCAGTTCAAGTCCCAGCTGCTCAAAATCTGATCAAGCTCCCTTCTAAAGCACCTGAGAAGCCAGCAAAAGATGGCCCAAGTACTTGGGCCCCTGACACCCACATGGGAGGCCAGGATGGAGTTCCTGGCTCCTGGCTTTGGCTTGGCCCAGACCTATCTGTTGCCAGCATTTCGGGAGTGAATCAGTGAATCAGTGATAGAAGCTGCCCCTCTCCCTCTCTCTCATTCTTTCAAATAACTCAAAAATTTTAAATTAACTTTTATTTATTTTAAAGAGAGAGATTGAGAGTGCTTCCATTCGTGGGTTTACTGTCAAATGCTGACATCCAGGGCTGGGCCAGGCTAAGGCCAGGAGCTGGAACTCCATCCTGGTCTCCCACGTGGGTGGCAGAGGCCCAAGCACTTGAGTCGTTATCTGCTGCCTCCCAGCTTGGAGCCAGATTGGAAGTGTGGAGCAGCAGAGACTCCAGTATGGGATGCAGGCGTCGCCAGTGGCAGCTCAACCTGCTATGCCCCAATAAACCTGTCTTTAAATTCCACTCTTCATCAGCTTTTGGGAGCACCCTCCTGAAGATCCTTTCCGAGGAACGCTTTTTGGTCAGAGTCTCAGACGCAGCAAGGATCACCTGTCATGGGGAATTTTGACATCATCGGGAACAGGGGCTTATCACAGAGGCTAATGATGTGGCTGTCCAGTGCAGTGTATTTTAATGAGCCAGGGGCTGAAGCGTCCTTGTCAGCTGCTTCCTGGGAATCTGGGCAGAGAGGCTGGAGCTGGAGGCCAGCCCAACACTTGCCAGGTCACATTTCAACAGTTGCCAGCAGAGAGGGCTTGCTTACCTGCAGTCTCCTGGTTTGAACCAAGCCTAAACTTCACCCAGAGAAGTCCAGATTGCCTTCTTGGGTCTGGGCGGCATGAGCTCATCCTGTGCAAGGTTTTCACGTTCCCCGCCTCCCGCGGGCGTGCACAGGTTGCGGTGGACGCCAGGGTCAGTGTGGAGAGGTGGCAGGCTCCCTCCGTGACGGAGGGCAGTGGGAATGGCAGTGTTCCTCAGAAGCTCATGCAGAAATGGAATTCAAGCCCGAGACTATTTCGGTGCAAAGGGTTTTGTAATCTGTATACACAAGGGCTCTTTGCAAAGCTTGTGCAAAATGCATCAGACGAGAAAAAGGATCCATGGATGTCAAGTTGTCTTGCCCCAGAATGAACTCATCTGGAATTTCATCTTGCCATGCTTGCTCTGAAGCATCTCCATGAGACGCTGTCTGTGCAACCCTGTGCTCATTTACTTCTGTCTGTCACCTGCCTATCCATCTATCATCTCTTTATCATCTACTTATGTCTGTCATCTACCTATTTCTATTATCTATCTGTATCCATCTATCAACCATCTGGCTATATCTATCTTCTATTATCTGTCAATCTATCATCTATCAATCATTTATTATCTAACATCTCTTTATCTATCTATATCATCTATATCTATCATCTACCTATAGCTATCATCCATGGATTTATTATTTATATCTATCAGTGTCGACTATCTATCAATCTATCTCTAGCATTTATCAATCTATTATCTATCTATTTGTCTATGAATATATGTATTAAGAAAACCAAATCCAAATAATGTAAACCAAGAAGAAACCAGGTGACCCTTTTAGGATATGAAATTTTCTTTTTTTTTTTTTATAAAGATTTACTTTATTTATATGAAAGACAGAGTTACAGAGAGAGGCAGACAGAGAGGGGTCCCTCCATCCATCAGCTCACTCCCCAGATGGCCGCAACGGCTGGAGCTGTGCTGATCCGAAGCCAGGAGCCAGGAGCCCCCTCCAGGTCTCCCATGTGGGTGCAGGGCCCCAAGGACTTAGGCTGTCCTCCACTGCTTTCCCAGGCCATAGCAGAGAGTTGGATGGGAAGTGGAGCAGCAGGGACCAGAACCAGTACCCACATGGGATGCCAGCACTTAAGGCCAGGGCCTTAACCCACTGTGCCAAAGCACTGGCCCCATAATTTTATTCCTTGAAACTTCTCTGGACAGCAGTAACTGATCCTTCCTTCCTTCCTTCCTTCCTTCCTTCCTTCCTTCCTTCCTTCCTTCCTCCTCCTCCTCCTCCTTCTTTTAAAGATTTTATTTATTTATTTGAGAGGTAGAATTACAGACAGAGAGAAGGAGAGACAGAGAGGGAGGTCTTCCATCTGCTGGTTTACTCCCCAGATGGCTGCAATCGGCAGAGCTGGGCCGATCCAAAGTCAGGAACCAGGAGCTTCCTCCAGATCTCCCACATGGGTGCAGGGGCCCAAGGACTTGGGCCATCTTCCACTGTTATCCCAGGCCAAAGCAGGGACTGGATTGGAAGTGGAGCTGCCAGGACATGAACCGGCACCCATATGGGATGCCAATGCTACATGCAGAGGCTTGACTTTCTATGCCACAGCACCGGCCCCAGTATACATTCTTAACTGTTGGTTTGACAGGTATAAAATGACTAACAAAATTGTATTTGTGGCAATACTGATATAGAAATTTCTTTCTTTTGTTTTTAGAATTTTTTTTTTTTAGTTTTTGAAAAAGATTTTATTTATTTAAGAGATAGAGTTACAGACAGAGAGGGAGGGAGGGAGGGAAGGAGAGAGACAGGGAGAGAGGTCTCCTATCTGGTGGTTCACTCCTCAAATGGCCTCAGTGGCCAGAGCTGGGCCAGGCTGAAGCCAGGAGCCAGGAGCTTCTTCCAGGTCTCCCACATGGGTGCAGGGGCCCAAGCACTTGGGCCATCTTCCACTGCTTTCCCAGGCCATAGCAGAGAGCTGGATCGGAAGTGGAGCAGCTGGGACTCAAACCAGTGCCCATATGGGATGCAAGACAGCCCCTGCTCCACTTCTGATCCAGCTCCCTGTTGATGCTCCTGGGAAAACAGCAGATGGTGACCCCGGTACTTGGGTCCCTGCCACCCATATGGGAGACTTGGATGGAGCTCCTTCCTGGCTCTTGGCTTCAGCTTGGCCCAGCTTCAGCTGTCATGGTTAATTGGGGGGTGTGAACCAGCAGACGGAATATCTCCATATTTCTCTCTGTCTCCCTCCTTATATCACCCTGCCTCTCAAATAAATAAAAACAAATCCTTAAGATAAAAAAATAACAAGTTAATAGGATATGGAGTGAACAATGACTTTATCTTGGTTCAAAATAATTGGAAATCCATTTGTATGAGAAGTCTTCAAAGAGTTCATGAAAAGTGTGTACCCTGAAAAAAACTATGCATTTCAAAATATTTTTGCACTAAGATAAATTTCTCTTAATTCTATTTTCCGTGAACATTTTTAAGTGACCTCATTTTATTTATTTTAAAGGATTTATTTATTTATTTATTTTATAGGGAGTTTGGATAAAAATAGGAGAAGCTGGACATATTCAGTAATATACTAATAAGAAATAATAATAGAGGGAGTAGGGTGAGAGTATGTGGACTCTTCGTATTACTACCTCACACTTTTTGTTTTGTAAATTTAAAACTGTTCTAAAATGAAATGTCTTAAAAGAGGAGAAAAACAGAGAGAGAGGGAGTGAGACCTTCTATACACTGGTTCACTCCTCAAGTACCTGCAACAGCTAGGGCTAGTCCAAGCTGAAGCCAGGAGCCTGGAGCTCCATCCAGATCCCCCACATGGGTGGCAGGGGCCCAAGCACTTGGGCCATCCTCCACTGCCTTTCCAGGCACATTAGCAGGGAGCTGGATTGGAAATGATTCAGCCGGGACTCAAAACGGTGTTCCCGTACGGGATGCCGGCATTGCACCAAGCTTAGCTCACTGCACCGCCACACTAGGCCCATGCATGGCCCAGGTGCTTGAGCTGTCTCCTGCTGCTTCCCAGGGTGCACATCAGGGAAGCTGGGATTACAAGTGGAGCTGGGACTCCAGACTGTGCAGTGTCCTGTTAGGTCAGATGCTGGCCAGGACCCTGGGTCAATCTGTCATCTGCTCAGCTCTGCAGACAATCCCTCCTTTTGAGTCTGAACGTGGCCCGGCTTCCCCAAGTCCATTCCCAGCACCTGGGCCTGGCTGTCCAGACCCCCTCCTCCTCCTGGTGTGTGTGTAGGGAGATGGGCAGCTCCCCTGGGTGGTGCGTGGCTGCTGCCTAGTTTGTTGCATCCCTGCTTCTCCAGCCCCTAGATGCAGCTGGTGAGACACCTGCTCTTGTGTCTACATTTTCCCTGGATCCATTGAACCGACTTCCACTCAGAAACCTGGGTTCCAGGAGGGCCCCACCCCCCACAACCGTCCATGACAGCCACTGGGGACCGGTGGCTTAGGATGTGCGTTTAATTCCTGAAACCCTCCTATGTAGTATGTGTTTAAAATTCCTTTTATTGTACAAGCTCAAGGTGTAGCACACGATGTTGTAGTAAACACATGTGCAGGGAAATGACTGCTACAGGTAAGCAACTTCATCTACCCATCATCTTCCTCTCTCTTGTTTTGCAACTAGAAGCTTAGAAAATTTCTGACATATAATATTACTACTAACCATGGCCCTCCCATTAACCATCCATCTCAGCCTTGGTGGCACTGCTAGATTGCAACTTTGTATCTTTTTTGATTCATGCTACACAAACTGCAACTCTGTATCCTTTGAGCTGCCCCCCACTTCTCTAACCCAGTTCCAGTGTCTTTCTCTAGGTGTTTGAATTTTCTTCGTTTTGATTGCACTGAGAAACAAGCACTGTTCTTTCTGCATCCGACTGGGGGTTTAGGATGCCCTGGGGAAATTGACTATTTCTCTTCTTTGTATTGGCCCCTGTCTCTGCCTTGCCTCTCCTTCCTGCCCCCCTCCTCCTGTGGTTTCCATGTTCCCCCCTGCCCCTCTGCGTGCAGCATCACAGCCACGGCGGCCAGTGTTGGGGCTGCTGGCATCCCCCAGGCAGGTCTGGTCACCATGGTCATCGTCCTCACGTCGGTCGGCCTGCCCACGGAGGACATCACACTGATCATCGCTGTGGACTGGTTCCTGTGAGTGTTCTCTTGTGCCCTCCCCAGGGTCCCAACCAACCCCGCGGGCTCTCCTTCTGGCAGAATGAGTTCTAGAATGTTTCACCTCTAGAATTTTATTTTAAAATGTTTTTATTTATTTCATTTTTAAAAAGAAGGTTTTGTTATTATTTAAGAGAGAGAGAGAGAGAGAGAGAGACAGAGATAGAGCATATCTCCCATATGCTCCTTCACTCCCCAAATGGCTGCAATGGTCAGAGTTGGGCCAGGCTGAAGCCAGGAGCCAGGAGCTTCTTCCAGGTCTCCCATGTGGGTGCAAGGGCCCAAGGACTTGGACCATCTCCTGCTGCTTTCCCAGGCCATAGCAGAGAGCTGGATCAGAAGTGGAGCAGCTGGGACTTGAACCAGCGCCCATATGGGATGCCAGGGCTGCAGGCAGTGGCTTAACCCGTTACACCACAATGCTGGCTCTCAAAGCCTCCCTTCTTACCTGTTTTATGTAGCAGTCACAAAGAGGTGATTCATGGGACAGAGCTGGCTGGCAATTTTTTTTTAAATTAATTAATTTTTTTTTTTAGAATTCTCAACTTTTACTAACAGTTTTCTTTTGGTGAAACATTTTAAAGACAGAAGAAGGACTCTCTGGGTGAGAAAGGAACATAGGTTACCAACACAGGCTTAAAAAAAGGGAAAGAATTTACAAAATTGATCTCTTAGGATGGACAAAATAACTTTTTGTTGAGCCAAGTTGGTTTTGTTTCAATTAATTACTCCATGTGGGTGGACTGTTCTTCTCAGATTTCTAGTTGAGCTCCAGTGGTGGAATCAACATGCAATGTTAGGAGGAGAGAAAAATTAGCTCTGGCACCAGAAAAAAAAGGAAGATGAAAACTCAGATGATAAACCTCAAATCTCACAAAATTGTAAAACGTTTGCTCATTGGCTTTGCCACTCGGGAGGCATTCTTTAGAGGTCATTATAGGGACAGAAGAGCAAAATGTGCAAAATTATGATTGCCATGTGGAAGATGGCCCAAGTCCTCGGGCCCCTGCACCCACATGGGAGACCCAGAAGAAGCCCCTGGCTCCTGGCTTCGGATCGGCTCAGCTCTGGCCATTGCAGCCATTTGGGGAGTGAACCAGCAATGGAAGACCTTTCTCTCTTTCTCTCTGCCTCTCCTCTCCCTGTAACTCTGCCACTCAAATAAATAAATAAAATCTTTAAAAAATATTGTGATTGCAACAAGATAGTGGAGGAACACCACAGAGAAAGCAGGTTCAGAAATGAGCTGTGAAGAGGCATAGGGGTGTCTGCCTTTACTGCTATCAGATAAAGACGACAAAAGCCTGTCTTTACATTATTTTCTGAATAGCCTCTCCACCTTTCCTGGTGGCTGAACAAATGGATTTATGATCTGAAATGTTATATGGCTACTAAGATGTCACTTATGTAGAAAGAAAATAGGAAAAAAAGAGCAGGTTTACACAGAAACAAACCTGGGCTCCCAGCCGTGAGTGGGAACCGCCCGCTACACCTAGTCCTAGTCCTGGTTCTTTCTTAAAAATTTATTTATCTGTTTATCCTCATTGTATTTGAAAGAGGGACAGTGAGAGTCATTCATTGGCTGCTTCACTCCCACCCCTCCCTGCCCGCCAAATGCTCCCCTAACAGCCAGGGCTGAGCCAGCAGCTCCATCTGTGTCTCCCATGTGGGTGGGCAGGAACCCAAACCCTTAAGCCACCACCTGCTGCCTCCCAGGGTGTGCGCATGCGCAGGGAGCTGGATCTGGGGAGCAGCGCTGGGACTGAAGCCCAGGCCCTCCAGACGGGGAGCCCTGAGCCACGGGCCCACTCTCCCCTTCCTTCCCCATGCTTTTTTTCCCCTTGAGGTCTTCCAGACCCTAACAGGGTCTCTCTCTCCCTCTCTCCCGCTCTCTCCCCCGCCAGCGACCGCCTTCGAACCATGACCAACGTGCTGGGGGACTCCATCGGAGCGGCCGTCATTGAGCATTTGTCCCAGCGGGAGCTGGAGCTGCAGGAGGCCGAGCTCACCCTCCCCAGCCTGGGGAAGCCCTACAAGTCGCTCATGGCTCACGAGAAAGGGGCCTCCAGGGGGCGGGGCGGGAACGAGAGTGCCATGTGAGGGGGGTGGGGGCTTCCAGCTCCGCCACCCAGTGAGGACAGAAGGGGCCTTGGGGAGGGAGGGGGTCCTGATGGTGGTCTGAGTGCGGCGGGCGCGTACACACACACACACACACACACACACACACACAAGCTCTGCCTGGCAGGGGGCAGCTGGGAGAACCGAGATAAAGGAGATAAAGGAGCGGTGTGGAAGGTGTCCGAAGCCTCTGTTCCCTCTTTGAGCCCCCGCAGGAGGGGTTGGCTGGGGGGAGAGTGGGGGAATCTTCTGGATCTCTGGCAGGTGGAGGGGTCACAGCTCACATCCTCAAGGAGGGGCCCAAGCAAAGAGCTCACAGCAAACCGCCTTTGTTTCTCGCAATGAAATCAGGGTCCACAGCCCTTGTAGGGGTGGGGTGGCAGCCTCCCGAGCAGCTTTGGGGTTCAGGGACCCAGGAACCAGAGGCAGAGGACTCAGAAAACAAACAAGCAAGCAGACCGATTTGTGCTCAGGTTGCTGGTTTATTCCACCGAAAGGTACAGATTCAAGTCAGCAAAAGGCAAAAATAAAGTTTCCAATGAGAGGAGGCGCCAGGATCTACCTGAGCCCCTTTCCCCGGCCTGATGTCGCAGCTATACACAGGGGGTGGACGTTGGGACACTTAGTGTGATTTTTTTTTTCTTGGAGCTGAAATGAACCCAGGCTCTGTGTGTGTGTGTGTGTGTGTGCGCGTGCGCGCGTGTGTTGGCAGTGTCTTAAATAAAAGAGTGTTCTGTTGCTACAGCAGAGTCCCCGAGACCTTTATTTGGGCTCACGGTTCTGGAAGATGGAAGTCTTAACAATTGGGAGGGGCGCATGGGTGTGAGAAAAGGGGGCGGAACTCCCACAGCCCTAACCCCACCCAGCCAGGCCCCACCTCCCAACACTGCTGCAATGAGTTAAGGTTCTCATATGACTACCGGGGACATCACTCAGATCACACACTGCCGAGAGCTAACATGAGCTTAGCTCTTGGTCCATGCAACTTGACATTAACTTATAAAACACAATCATTCAGGGCCCGGTGCTGTGGCTTAGTGGATTAAGCTGCAGCCTTCAGCGCCCACACATATGCGTACTGGTTCAAGTCCTGGCTGCTCCACTTCTGATCCAGCTCTCTGCTAATGCACCTGGGAAAGCAGTGGAGGATGGCCCAATGCTTGTGCCCCTGCACCCATGAGGGAGACCTGGAGGAAGCTCCTGGCTCCTGGCTTTGGCTCAGTCCAGCTCTAGCCATTGTGGCCATTTAGGGAGTAAAATGGGGGATGGAAGACCTTTCTCTCTCTCAGTGTCTCTCCCTCTCTCACTGTAACTCTTTCAAAGAAATAAATTTTTTTGTAATTATTCATTAGAGAGGGAACTCCAATCGTCTGGTTCAATCCCCAGATGCCTGCAATAGCCAGGGCTGGGCTGGACACCATGCTAGGGAGTTAGGAACCCCATCCAGGTCTTTGGAAGCAGCGTGGCAAGGACTCAACCACCTGAGCCGTCAACCTTCTGCCTCAGCAGGAAGCTTAGCAGAGTTGGGAGCCAGGGCTGAGAACTGAACCCCGGGCACTTTTTTTCCCCTTGAGGTCTTCCATCTGCTGGTTCACTCCCCAGATGGCTGTAATGGCCGGAGCTGGGCCAATCCCAAGCCAGGAGCCACGAGGTTCTTCTGGATCTCCCACGAGGGTGCAGGGGCCCCAGCACTTGGGCCATCTTCCACTGCTTTCCCAGGCCACAGCAGAGAGCTGGATGGGAAGTGGAGCAGCTGGGACTCAAACTGGTGCCCACATGGCACACCGGCCCTGTAGGCGGCAGCTTCACTGGCTACGCCACAGCACCGCCCCCCACCTCCCAGCACTCTTGATATGGGCTATGTGGGTAGCATATTAACCAGAGCCTTTACTACTAGGGTAAATGCCCACTGGCTTATTTTTTTTTTTAATTCATTTGGCTCCACTGGAGCTCTTGCCCTGGAGATGGGGTGGGGGTGGGAATGAAAGGGGAGCCAAGGGAAGGTCCACTTCAGGGTGACCCCTGTACCCCATTCTTTGAGTGGGGCATTAAACAATTAAGAGAATGTTGGGGGAAGGGCTTCAGGTCTGCACTCTCCTACACTGAGACATTTGTGGTCCAAGATTTTCATGCAAAGATAGGAGGCTGGTGCTGTGGTGTAGTGGGCTGTCTCCGACTGCAGTGCTGGCATCCCATATGGGCACTGGTTCAAATCCTGGCTGTTCCACTTCCCATGCAGCTCTCTGCTGTGGCCTGGGAAAGCAGTAGAAGATGGCCCAAGTGCTTGGGCCCCTGCACCCATGTGGGAGACCTGGAAGAAGCTCCTGGCTCTGGAATGGCTCAGCTCCAGCCATTATGGCCATTTGGGAAGTGAACCAGTGGGCGGTTGTATTTATTTATTGTATTTCAAATTTGCAAAATGGCAAACTGAGGTCTCACTCACAGCGTTCTGGGTGGGCCAGCAATAAAGCTACTACATAAGCTAAGACATACAGCTCTGCCCAGCTGGGAACATGGACCTGAGAGGTGCCGGGAGGTGGAGACGCAGGGTGAGGAGAGAGAGTTGTGTGGGAATGCGAGGAGCCAGCGCACCCCTACCAGTTTGTCTCACCAGCAAGCAAAGGAGTCGGATGCCAACTTTGGTCTTTGGTTAAGTCTTTGGTTAAGGGGACAATTCCTGGGGCATCGTTATTCATGTACAGGAGCAGAGCTGACAGCAACCACCAGAGGGTCAAGAGAGATGTGTAACCAGTGAATGTGCGCTACCATGATAAGGCCCCCGGTGGGACAGCTTCCGCTTTCCTGAATGCAGCTGCAATGGCAGGAATGGCAGGAGTCACCTTGGTACCACGAGGGTGAAAGCCACAGGCTGGAGTTGGCAGAAGTGTAGAAGGACCAGCCTTGATCTGCTTAGCTCTAGAATTTATATTTTGTGAAGACATCAAAACAAACAAAAAAGTCCTAAAGACTTCTCTGCTTAAATCACTGTAGCTAGATCTCTGCTACATGAACGAATTGCAGTTTCTTTTTTCTTTTTAAAGATTTATTTATTTGAAAGGCAGAGTTATAGAGAGGCAAAAGGAAAGAGAGAGAGAGGTCTTCCATCCTCCGGTTCACTCCCTAGTTGGCTGCAATGGCCAGAGCTGCGCCGATGTGAAGCCAGGAGCCAGGAGCTTCCTCCAGGTCTCCCACATGGGTGCAGGGGCCCAAGCACTTGGGCCATCTTCTACTGCTTTCCCCAGGCCACAGCAGAGAGCTGGTTGGGAAGTGGAGCAGCCAGGACTTGAACCGGTGCCCATATGGGATGGCAGCTCCTGGCTCCTGGCTTCAGCCTGGTCCAGCCCCAGTGTGGTGGCTATTTGGGGAGTGAACCAGTGGGTGGAAGACTTCTCTCCCTCTCCCTCTCCCTCTCCGATGACTTCCTGTCCAGTTGAGTGCACTGGGTAGATAGAAACACGGATCAGGCAAGCAGCACCAGCCCTGCGGCTTTTCCCTGAGGACTGCCCTGGTGACCGGGCAGGGGAAGAACTCCCAGCGGGAGGACTCTCTTAGTCTTGCAGGTCCTGGGAGGGAGGGTGGTGAATGCCCCCCACCCCCCACCCCAACATACACCAAGACATGGCCCACGATGACCCAGGGGTGGATGAGCCCATTGTTCCGACCTGGTCGTGAACCTGGTTCAGCAGTCATGATGCATCAGAGTGCATGAAGATGGGACTGAGACCTACACTTGTTCATCTTGGTGAAAAAAAAAAGCCAACAGAAAAGTTTTAAAATCCATGCACAGTTTTTTCTGTGAACTTCTTAAAGACCCCTTGTAGGTATCACTACTGTGTGTCAATCAAAAACAAAATACTGGGGCCAGTGCTCGGGTGCAGTAGGTTAAGCATTTGCCTGCAGCGCCGGCCTCCCATATGGGCACTGGTTCGAGTCCCGGCTGCTCCACTTCTGACCCAGCTCTCTGCTCTGGCCTGGAAAAGCAGTGGAAGATGGCCCAAGTCCTGGGCCCCTGCACCCATGTGGGAGACCCGGAAGAAGCTCCTGGCTCCTGGCTCCAGATTGGCCCAGCTCCGGCCGTGGTGGCCATCTGGGGAGTGAACCAGCAGATGGAAGACTTCTCTCTCTGCCTCTCAAGTAAATAAATCTATAAAAAATTATTTAAAAAATCTGAACTGTTAAAAAAGCCTACTCCGTTAATTTTTTTTCTTTTTTCTTAACTTTTTTTTTTTTTTTTTTGGACAGGCAGAGTGGACAGTGAGAGAGAGAGACAGAGAGAAAGGTCTTCCTTTGCCATTGGTTCACCCTCCAATGGCTGCCGCGGGCAGCGTGCTGCGGCCAGCGCACCACGCTGATCCAAAGGCAGGAGCCAGGTGCTTATCATGGTCTCTCATGGGGTGCAGGGCCCAAGCACTTGGGCCATTCCCCACTGCACTCCTGGGCCACAGCAGAGAGCTGGCCTGGAAGAGGGGCAACCGGGACAGAATCCAGCGCCCCAACTGGGACTAGAACCTGGTGTGCCGGCGCCGCAGGCAGAGGATTAGCCTATTGAGCTGCAGCGCTGGCCTGCTCGGTTAATTTTTAGCATTGGAAGAGCGCAGTGGCATTTGGCAGCTGTTCCTTCACTCATCACCTGTCTATTGATGTGTTCACGCATCCATCTACTCATCTATCAGTTTACTCATCTGTCATCGACACACTGATCTATTCATCTATGGGTTTATTCATCCATTATCTAGATCATCAATCAATCAATCAATCAATCAGCCATCTATATTTCTATCATCTATTTCCATCTCTATTTCTCTGTCTGCCTTTCAAGTAGTATGAAAATGTTGCTAAAAAACCAATACTTTTAAATTAACTTCTCTGCTTACGGAGGCATTTGTCGATGCTTATCCTCAGCGCCCCCAGTGGAAACATCGCACAAACCCCTGGACTGATCATGCCCCAGCACTAACGTGGACAACCACCCCAGAGCGATTCCACCAGCACAAGACAGCTCCTAGGGCTCTGCTGGTGAGTGCACGGATGGAACACAGTATCCCGGAGCAGGAGTGAAGGACCCCAGCCAAGGCCTGCAGCCGGCAGTGTAAGTGCAAAATACACGACCATGTCATTAAGAAAAGTAGTGGGCAGGTGCTGTGGGCCATCTGGTTCAGCTCACAGAAGTGGATTTTCATGTGTGCACAGAAGCACAGCCACAGCACCAGTAGGCTGTGTGACAGGTATGCAGGACACTGATGACCCAGGACACCAGGACCAGCTGCACACAGAGCCGGGGGTTGATGATGACTGTGTAGTGCAGGGGGTGACAGGTGGCCATGAACCTGTCATAGGCCATCACGGCCAGGAGAAGGTCATCCAATCCTGTGAAGACTATGAAGAAGAACATCTGGGTGATGCAGCCTGCATAGCTGATGGCTTGGCTCTGCGTCTGGATGTTCACCAGCATCTTGGGGACGGTGGTGGAGGTGAAGCAGACGTCCACCAAGGACAGGTTGGAGAGGAAGAAGTACATGGGTGTGTGGAGGTGGGGGTCTGAGAGGATGGCCAGGATGATGAGCAGGTTCCCAGCCACAGTGACCAGGTACATGGAGAGGAAGAGCCCACATATGAGGGGCTGCAGTGCTGTTTCCCCTGAGAATCCAGACAAAGGAATTCTGACAGCTGTGTTCCATTACCCAGTTTCACCTGGAATCACCAGGTTTCACACAAGAACAAGAAGACAGTAAGAAGGAGTGAGCCTGGGTCCCCCTCTCCCAGAAGGTGGGAGAACTAGACGACAGTAGAAAGGAGTGAGCCTGGGTCCCCCTCTCCCAGGAGGTGGGAGAACAAGATGATATAAGAAGTGAGCCTGGGTATCCCTCTCCCAGGAGGTGGCAGAATTGCACAAAGTAGGAAGAAGTGAGCCTGGGTATTCCTCTCCCAGGAGGTGGGAGAAGTAGATGATAGGAAGGAGTGAGCTTGGGTCTCCCTCTCCCAGGAAGTGGGAGAAGTGGATGACATAGGAAGGAGTGAGCTTGGGTCTCCCTCTCCCAGGAAGTGAGAGAAGTAGATGACATAGCAAGGAGTGAGCCTGGGTATTCCTCTCCCAGAAGGTGGCAGAATTGCACAAAGTAGGAAGGAGTGAGCCTGGGTCCCCCTCTCCCAGGAGGTGGGAGAACAAGACAATATAAGAAGGACTGAGCCTGGGTATTCCTCTCCCAGGAGGTGGCAGAATTGGACGAAGTAGGAAGGAGTGAGCCTGGGTCCCCTTCTCCCAGGAGGTGGGAGAAGTGGACGACAGTAGGCAGGAGTGAGCCTGGATCCCCCTCTCCCAGAAGGGGGGGGAGAACAAGATGACATAGAAAGGAGTGAGCCTGGGTCCCCCACTCCCAGGAGCAGGGAGAACTGGACGACAGTAGGAAGGAATGAGCCTGGGTCCCCCCTTCTCCCTGGGCTCAGATCTATTGTGAGTCCAGACGTGGGGGAGGAGCTTAGGGTTACTGGTGCGTCCTGAGAGTGTTCTGGAATTCCTCGTGTGGCCGGTTGTAGGTGCTGTTTCTGTGGTGATGTTGCTCCTGGGCGTGTGCCTCCCAACACCAACACTGCCCTTTACGCTGCTGAGGGGACGCACTCAATGCTCCCTGAATGCTTAGAAAATAGTGCAAAATAACAACAAAAAAATACATTGCATGGCTAGATTCACAGTCTGGTTGGCATGCATACCTTCCTGTTGTGCTACGGTGGGCTGAGCTCCCCACCTTCCCGTGGGGTGCCCAGCTGCTGGCCATTGGCTGGTGGGCTCAGCTCCTGGGCACTGGGTAGGAGGTTCAGCTCCCTGCCTTCTAGTGGGTTGTTCAGCTCCTGAGTATTGGGTGGTAGGCTCAGCTCCTGGCCGCTGGCTGGTGGTAGGCAATGCTCCTGGCTGTTGGCTGGTGGTAGGCTCAGCTCCCGGCCGTTGACTGTGGTAGGCTCAGCTCCTGGCCATTGGCTGGTGGTAGGCTCAGCTCCTGGCTGTTGGCTGTTGGTAGGCTCAGCTCCTGGCCATTGGCTGGTGGTAGGCTTAGCTCCTGGCTGTTGGCTAGTGGTAGGCTCAGCTCCTGGCCACTGGCTGGTGGGCTCAGCTCCTGCTCTTCTTTCGGTGGGCACAGCTTTTGTATAAGGGTGAGCTCCATGCCAGCTTTGGGTGTGCCCTGCTGCCAGCCACACCATGCCACGCTTGGCCACTGTGGCCCCTGCTCATTCTCCGATGGGATGTGGCCGATGGAGGACAGCAAGCAGGTGGATTCCAGGGACCATGTGATACGGACAGTGCTCTGTGAGAAGCGTGGCGAGGGGTTTCCTGAGGCCAGCACCTCATGCAGGACCTGGAGGTGCTGGTGGTGGTGGTGATGGTGGTGGTCTTTGGCCTTGAAGGTGCCGCCGTGGCATTCTCATTGTCTGCAAGGGAAGAAGGTTGGCCCTGAGCACCTGTGAGGCCCTGAGCTCAGCTCCACCTGTGCTGAAAGGCTGGGAGCTCTGGGTTGGGGGTTAGACCCTACAGCCTGTTCCTCTGTCCTCTCGGGGAAACTCACCTTCTCCTGGCTGGGTGTAGGGGCCTCCCCTGCAGCGAGGCTACTCCTCCCCGCCCCCAGCCCTAGCCAGCTTAGAGAGGGCTCTGAGTCTGTGAGTAGGGGTCCTCTGACAGTGCTGCCGACTTCTCCCACCCACCTCTCCCCAAGTTCCTCTTGTCTCTGACCCTCCAAGCTAGGCCCTTAGCCACTGCCTGTCAGCTGCCTCATTGCTCCAAGCCTCAGGCTGGTGCTTCTGTTGGCTCTAAGTTTGCATTCACGGATCTGCTTTTTCAAATGGTGTCCAATCTGTTAGCAGATCTGCCAATCAAACCTTTTTAAATTTCTGTGATCACATCAGAGTACATTTAAACCTTAGCGAGGGTCCGGCGCTGTGGCACAGTGGGTTGAAGCCCTGGCCTGAAGCACTGGCATCCCATATGGGTGCCGATTCGAGTCCCGGCTGTTCCACTTCCGATTCAGCTCTCTGCTGTGGCCTGGGAAAGCAGTGGAAGATGGCCCAAGTCCTTGGGACCCTGCACCCACGTGGGAGACCCAGGGGAAGCTCCTGGCTCTGGCTTTGGATCGGCGCAGCTCTGGCCCTAGTGGCCAACTGGGGAGTGAAGCATCGGATGGAGAACTCTCTCTCTCTCTCTCTCTGCCTCTCCTCTCTATGTAACTCTGACTTTCAAGTAAATAGATAAGTATATCTTAAAAAAAAAAAAAAAAAAAAAACCTCAGCGAGACTTTTCATTTGGTGCTCGTTCAAACTGATTGGCAGTTAAAAACCCAGTTTCTTGCTCTCTTCATCTGCTTTCCCTTCCTTCCTTCCTTCCTTCCTTCCTTCTTTCCTTCCTTCCTTCCTTCCTTCCTTCCTTCCTTCCTTCCTTCCTTCCTTCCTTCCTTCCTTCCTTCCTTTCGACAGGCAGAGTGGACAGTGAGAGAGAGAGAGAGAGAAAGGTCTTCCTTTTGCCGTTGGTTCACCCTCCAATGGCTGCTGTGGCTGGCGTGCTGCGGCCGGCCCACCGCGCTGATCCAAAGGCAGGAGCCAGGTGCTTCTCCTGGTCTCCCATGGGGTGCAGGGCCCAAGGACTTGGGCCATCCTCCACTGCACTCCCGGGCCATAGCAGAGGGCTGGCCTGGAAGAGGTGCAACCGGGACAGAATCCGGCGCCCTGACAGGGACTAGAACCTGTTGTGCCGGCGCCGCTAGGTGGAGGATTAGCCTATTGAGCCACGGCGCCGGCACATCTGCTTTGAACTGGGTTTCCTCTCTCTCTCTCTCTCAACTGGACTGAATACTTGTCACTGTGTTTTTGCTGGGGCATCCACCCTGCCCCCAATCTCCATGAGTCTGCTCCCACTGAAGCCTTTCCCTGGTGCACTGTGCCCTCCTACACCCCCACCCCCCGTACAAAACCCTCCCCCCACCGCCAGGAGCTGCTTGCTTCAGGCAAGGACCCTTGCAGGCCCGCAGTGAGGTCAGTGAGGTCAGTTCCTTGCAGGGAATTCTGCCTGGCACCCTGGGGATGCTCAGTGCAGCATCATTCTGTGGTTACTTTCTGTGGACTGTGGTCACCCACCTAGCACCAAGGCAGCCAGGGAAAGCCTGCTGTCCAGTCCTGATTGCCTTGGGGTGGAGGGAGTGGGTCAACTCAGTTCCCTGCTGCCATCAGGGGCTCCCTGTGGGTACTGACTGGCCTCCTACTCTGCCTCAGCTCTGAGCTCCATCTGCTCTTTGCACTTCCTGTATAGCTGCGAGAGTCAAGTTCACAGGGCTGGCCACATCTTCCTGTGTTTCCCCTGCCTGAGATGCTGGCCTGGGAATTCCTTGTCTTGTCAGTCCACTGATGTCTTAAGAATACTTGCCTCCTAGGTCCAGCGCTGTGGTGCAGGGGATTAAAGCCTCGGTCTGCAGTGCCGGCATCCCATATGGGCACCACTTCAAGTCCTGGCTGCTCCACTTCTGATCCAGCGCTCTGCTATGGCCTGGGAAAGCAGCAGAAAATAGCCCAAGTGCTTAGGTCCCTGCACCCACATGGGAGACCTGGAGGAAGCTCCTAGATCCTGGCTTTGGATTGGCCCAGTTCCAGCCATTGCAGCCATCTGGGGAAGTGAACCAGCAGATGGAAGACCTCTCTCTGTCTCTACCACTCTATAACTCTTTCAAATAAGCAGGCATGCATGTGTGTGCATGTACGGAGGCACATGTAATGCCTAGCTGTTCCCCGCGTATTGATTGGCCCCAGAAGTTGCCCTGTGACAGGATTCTGTTTTATCAACATTCTTTTTTTTCCTTTTGCCTCCCCTTTTTTCATTTATACCACCTGTTTGGGTTTTATGAGTCTTGAAATCCACCTTAAACCTTGAATCGTGGAAGAGACTCAGATGCTGCGGTCCCCCACCTGCTTCAGTTGGGATGGATGAACAGCACAGTCTAGCTCCCGGGCCAGGCTCCCCTGACTGGGTGCAAGGCGACAAGCGGCTGGGTGCCCCTGTGTGTGACAGCAGGTCCCTTTGGCCTGCCAGGGCGGGGCCAGTCTCGGATTCTACGTGTGACCAGTGCTTTAGGGCCAAGCCAGTTTCTAGCTGCTCTGTGGGGAACCTTCCCAAGAGCCGGGACAGGTAGGCTAAGGGGGCTCTCCTTTTTTTTTTTTTTTCCAAAGCCACTGTAATCCTGAAGGCTTCTATTGTGGGGAGCAACTCGGACTAGACTAAGTTACTGGAATTAAGACTTATTCTATGCATCTGCTCTCCCACAATATGGCGCTGGGAGAGGAGTAAACAACTTCTACACAGCTGCCTCCAGTTCGACCAATAACCTGCAGGAGCTGATCCTGCTCCTGATTGGAGGAGAGCAGCGTACTCGGCGTGTGGGTAGCAGAGTTGAGATTGGTGGAAGAGGACTATAAAGGAGGAGAGAGACAACATGCACCAGGAACATCCGGATAACATCTGAGCAGCCCCCGAGAGAGCCGGCCGGTGGTGTGCCGCTCCCCCGCGGAAGTGGGGAAAGTGGCAGGGGGAACCGCCCCTCCACGGAGGTGGAAGGATCGGCAGCCAACCCGGGAAGGGCCGAGCAGACAAAAGAATAGCGCAGGGTCCTGTGTCGTTCCTCCACGAATGGGGGAGCGACATTCTATCACTTCTGAAAGTTCTTCCATCAATGTCTTTGGGGGAAAATTGACTCTCAGCCAAGCCTTTGAGATGTGTATAAACCCAGGCAGTCTGTGGGACCTGAAGTTGTCCACTCCCAAGAGATGGCAGACAGAAACATGCTGCCTGGGGAAGTAGGGTGGACATGGGGAGGTGGGCAGCAGCATTCTGGGGTCCTCACTGGCATTCAGAGACAAGGACAGGTGCAGTGTTCCAGCCCTGGACTGTCCACTGGTGAGTTGGTTTGTCCAGGTATACTTGCACATTGACTCAAACTGCAGAAGTCTTACCCAAAGCTAGCCCCTCATCTGTATCACCATCCTCTGCACTGGGCTCACTGGATTCTCTGTCCCGGAAACTCAGAGCCTGCAGAGAAAGAGAGAAGCTGTGGAGGATGCAAGGTGCGGCGTCTGTTATCCCCACAGAGGGGGCCACGCAGCACTGTGGGTGCACGCTAGCTGGAGACCTGAGCCATTGCTTGTCCTCTCTGCAGCCTGTGCACTCGGCACAACACAAGGAGCCCCCGTCTGCATCCTGGGCACTCATCACCACACGAGCACCCCTTCCTCTATGTCCTGTGCGCCCATCACCACGCAAGGAGCGTTCAAGGCAGCCTTGGCTAACGTAAGATGTTTCCTCCTGCCCCAGCCCCTGCACCAGCGTCCAGCCATGCCGTGCTCTGCTGAAGCAGTAAGGTAACGGAACCACAGGAACGACATGTGGGGTCACCCTGGGGGGGGGGCAGCAGATGCTTGGGGATGGGCAGAGAATGGTCAGGCACTTGTACACTGCAAACACTTCTGGAATGCATTGTCAACGACAGGCTGTGTGCCTACAGACAACAGCCATGGGTGCAGTGATCTTGGTAGGGCCAGGGCAATGCAAGGAAAACAAACAAAAAAAATCAATGGAAGGAAGTGGCAGAAGCTAAGATGGATCAAGGCCGTGCTGTGTGTCATGTCACATGTGTGGTCTGTGCTGTGCTGTGTCATGTCACATGCTTAGTTCATGCTGTGCTGTGTATCATGTCCCATACACGGTTCGTGCTGTGCCGTCACATCACACGTGTGGTTCATGGTGTGCTGTGTCATGTCACATGAGTGGTTCATGCTGTGGATGTGGGACTGGACAAGGACTGGGCATGAGGGAACCTGGGTGAGGGGGTGGAGGACGGCTTTCTATAATTGACAGACACGTGCCTCTGGATATTGACGTCTGAGGGTCTTTCTGCTCCCTTCAGAGAGAACTCAAAGCAGTGCCTCTTTATCCAGGTCATTCATGGCTGAGTCCATGGACCCTTAGGGCTCAGTATGGTGCCCCGTAAGACTCACGCCAGCACTCTTCATTGTACTTTCCAGGAAAACACCAGTGTGAGCCTCAAGGCAAGACCACCGGAACCACAACGCTAGGGGTGACTATGCAGTGCACTTTTCAAGGGCTTTGTGGTGATGTGGTGCGTGGGTGAACCAGGGTTGACAAACGGGGTCTTTCTCAGCAGAGGGCATCGATTCTGTGCCAGATGTTGCTGGCACAGGTGCAGGCTGGGAGCTGTGCTGGAGACCAAGCAGAATGAGGGAAGCCCACTCTCCTGGCTCCCTGCACCCCCTCTGGCTGAGGGATGAGGGAGCTTGCAAGGGGGACAGCACCTCTGGGGTGGTGCTTTTCCGAGTGGAGCCTCCCCCACTGTGCTCCTTGTGCTCTGCTCTTGCCAACAGATCCTAGAGTTGTGCTATGAGCTCGTGTCTGGCCCAGGTTGATCAGGAAGCCACCTGCCTGGGGCGCCAAGCTGAGCATGCTGGGGTGGTGGGCAGTGCTCGGACCAGGGTGGGGAGTGGGGGAGGTACGTACTCAGGCAGATGTGACAGAAAATCAGCTGCCCAGCACCAGCACGATGACAAAGCTCAGCAGCAGCACGTCCACTCCAAGGGACACGACCACGGTGAACACGGGCAGGAAAAGCAGCCAGGTGTCCTCTCCGACCTCTGCCAGAACAAGGGAGACACAGGCGGCCAGGTGAGGCCAAGGGGAGGAACTTTGCTCCAGGTAGGGCGGAGCGAAGCAACCTCCCCCCTCCCCAGCCCGAGGGATGCCCAGGTGTGTGCTCTGCCTTACTGGAGTGCCCTGGGCGCCCCCCAGCCCCCTGCCCCGCCTGGCTGGTGTGATAACCCCATGCTGGCTCTGGAAGGTGAGGCCAAGTCCCCAGGTCTCCTCCCTCCTCCCTGCTACTGACACACACACACACCTGAGCCTTGCCATGCCACACCCAACCATCCTCCAAACAGAATGGGACGGCTACAATCCTACCCTGCTTGCTCCTAGGACCCTGTCCTCTGCGACCCCAGGGTCGCCTACACTCAAAGCCACATGGCTTTCCAGAAAGCCCATGTTGAGAACATCACAGGTGTGCTGTGGAGGTGGAGCACGGTGGGACTGAGCTCCAAGGGGCGAGGTGCTCGCTTGCTCACTCGGCTGTCCTAAGGGACACCTGGCAGACATGGCCCTGGGTGGTGTGGCCTGTGTGGTACACTGGGCTGGACTGGGAGGCAGCCGAGCCACAAGGGTCCCCTCAAGCAGTGACCTGGTAGTCCTCTGCAGTCTGAGAGACACTTTGGTGGGGAAGCACCCTCCCTGACTCCCGGTGCAATCTTCTGGAACAGCAAAGCCAGGCAATTGCATACATACAGCAGGAGTGGATGCTGCTCTCTGCTCTGCCATGGCCTTGGGGAGAGAGGTCTTACAAGGACCAGGAAGGGAGAGGCTCTGAGGCCTGCATCCTACAGCCACCGTGCCAACTGGGCACTATAGGGGAGCCTTAGCACCGTCCATCCTCGTGTCTGCAGCCTGGTGGGAGAGCCGTGCTCCCTCTGGGGCCCCTGGCTCTGGTTCCTTCCTGCCTCTTTTGACTCCTGGGGGTTGTGGGTTCCCCTAGGCTTGTGGGGAATCCTCTGGGTAGGTGCCTCTCTCTCCTATTTCTCATAGAATAGCTGCCACTGGGCCTGGGCCCACATGACCACCCACCTTCAGTCACATCTGCAGGGACCCTCGGTTGGCATCAGGAGGGTTGCCACAGGCCCTGGGGTTGGGACATGGGCACATCTTTCCCCCTTGCTCGATGCAGACAGTGGTGCTCATGGTTGGGGCTCCTGGACCTGCTCAGCTCAGGTGTACCCAGCCCCCATCTGGCCCCTTTCCTAGATGGCTGACTCCTCCAGGCAGCCCCACTCCCACCCCCACCCTGCCCTTCCCCACCAGGGACCAGCACAACTTGAGCATCCCAGGGCTGACTGTGCAGGGGATTGAGGGGGCAGGGAAGACCCTTCTCCCACACCTGATGCCTGGCACCACAGCCCCCTAGCAGCCCTGGTGGTGCCAGATAGCCAGATAGTTGCTGGCAGCAGTGTGGACACAGGGCAGAGGTGTAGACACAGGGCTGCAGTGTAGACAAGGGGCAGTGGTCCTCAGACGAGGTCCAGAGGCTCAGAAACCCTGAAAAGAGCAACAGGGTCCGTTTCTGTTCCAGGCTCTTTTCCTGGGACAAGATGAGGTGACCACATCGCAGCTCAAGAGACTATGGGCTGGCAAACAGCTGACCTAGCACCCTGGACCCCAAGGGAGGCAGTGCTGGGAGCTGCCCCAGTGCCTTTGTAATCGTAGTCAGTAGAGACTCCTGGGGCCTATGATCTGCTTTACGAAGATATACACCATGATGGATATTACAGAGTCCTTTGTGTGCATCTTTTGGTGGAGCAGAACAGGTAGGTGTCTTCTTCAGTCCTAAGAGGTGGCACTGCAAGGGGGAGGGGGGATGGTGCTTCATCCTGGCGCCTCCCCCTAAACCCATCATCCTTCCTGTAGCACCTTCCGGGTGCAGGATTCCACTTTCCAGATAGGATGGGTCGGCTCCTGGAAGAAACTTCCCACAGGGCCACAGCGGGGTGGTTTACGTTCCTGCACTGACAGCCAGGTGGTGCTGTGGCCCTCAGCCTTTGGTCCCCAGGGTGTGAATGCCAACTGCTTTGGTCGGGGAAGGGGGTTGCTGGCCCAAGTCAAGACCTCAGGATGTTAGGAGACACGCCCAGAGCTCTCGTATCCTCTCCTGTTCTGGGCTTTCTCTGTGCCGCAGGGCTGGGGACAGAGGCTGCCGAGGATGTGTGAGGGCATCCAGGGAGCTGTCTGTCTGTCCATCCCCACCTCAGCGTGCACATACACACCACACACCAGACACATCAGACACACCAGACACATACCATACGCACCACACACCACACACCATACACACACACCATACACATCACACACCATACCCACCACACACCATATACACCACACACACACACCATACACATCACACACACTATAGACACCATACACCACACACCATATACATCACATCCACTATACACACCATACACCACACACACATCACACCAGACACCATATACATCACACACACTAGACACCATACACCACACACCATATACCTCACATCCACTATACACACCATACACCACACACACACACCATACACACCACATACACTATACACCACACACACACCATACACCACACATCATACACACCACAGCATACACACACAACATACACACCATACAACATACACACCACACACAGCATATACACTATATACACCAAACACATACCATATATTACACATACACATACACATATATTACACATACACACCACACATCATACACACACCATACACACCACACACACACCATACATTACACACCATACATACCACACAGCATACACATACCATACACACTCTACACACCACACACATCACACACCATACACACACCATACACATCACATAAACTACACATACCATACACTATACACACACCACACATCATACATTACACACCATACACACACAGCATACACACTATACACACCACACACCATACATTACACACACGCCATACACACCATATACCATACACACCACACACCATCCATACAACACACACCATACACCTCACACACCACACTACAAACACACCATACATCACACACCATACACCACACACACACCATATACACCAAACACACATCATACAAACCACACAGCATACACAGACACCATACACACTATACACACCACATGCCATACACACCACACACACCAAACACCTCACAAACCATATACACTATACACACCATACACCATATATACACTATACATACTATACACACCATACACCACATACACACCAGACATACCACATGCCATACACACCACATGCACCATACACACTACACACCATATACGACATACACACCATATATCACACACCACACACACCATACACACCACACATACACCATACACACTACACACCATATACGACATACACAACATATATCACACACCATACACAACAGAGCATACACATGCTACACACCACACCATATACCACACATACAGCATACATCAAATACCACACAGCATACACATATAGAACACTATACACCACACACACCATATACACCATACACCATACACACCGTACGCACCACACACACCATACACCACACAGCATACACACACTATACACACCACACACCATATACCACACCATATACATCACATACCACACTACACATACACCATACTATACATGCCATAAGCCACATGCACACCACACACACCACATACACACCATACATCACATACCATAAATACCACAGAGCATACACACACACACCATACACACATCATATACCACACACACCACACACACCATATACCACACATACACTACACACCATACACCACACACACTACACACATCACAAACCCTACACACTACACACACAATACACCACACACACACCATACACATCGTACATCACACGTACACCACACACACAATACACATATCACACACACCATATACCATACACACACCACACAAAAATACCATACACCATGCACACACCATACATACACACTACACACACACACCAGATGCCACACACATACACCACACAGCAGACACACCTACACATATCTACATGTGTGTATCCCATACACACACACCATACACACCCCACCCATGTACCAGACACATCTATCACACACACACAACTACCACATATATATAACACATTCACTACACACAGAGCTACCACATATACCCATACCTCCATCACACACATACCACTTCCCCATTATACACACCCCACACCCTATATGCACACAACATACACATACACACTACACACCATCACAGTACACGAACACACATGTGTGCACTGCATGATTTTTCGGGCCTCAGAACCCCTCTTGATGATGTCATACTGCATCCTGGGCTGGGGGCCTCCAGCCCCTCCCCCTGCCTGGCCAGGGGCCACCTCTGGCAGGCTCCCTGGCCATCTGGCCTCTGCCCTGGATGCCGCCCTGGCACCCCACGGGCCCCAGTGGGCTCATCCTGTCGAGTGCTTGCCATGAACCTCTTGGAATCCCAGTTCTGGGATTCTAGGGCCGTCTCAGAGACCAGTCGCTATGGGGTTGAGGCCCAGTGTCTCCTGGTCACATCTGTGCCCCATTTTGGACCCTGGTTTCCATCTTCCCGGCCGGGAGATGGGGGAGGGCTCTGTCCTGTCTCAGTGGGAGGGGCCAGCTACTCTCACAGGTATGTCCCTCCTGCTTGGGTTTGGGGGGCCCTGCGTGGCCCTACCAGGACACATCCTGGCCTCTACCCACTCCTGGGAGGGGCCTCAGCCACCTGCTATCCATTCCCACCTGCTGCATTGACAGCCTCCTCCCTCACTGTCCACCACCCTTGTAACATGGCATCAGGATGGGCACCCTAAGGCACACATCATGGGCATCTGGAGGCGTGCTAGTGGTGCCTGTCTACCCCTTGGCCACTCTTGCCACCCCCGCCCTACTGCCTGGGGCAGCCCTGCCCTCCCATCTTCCACCCCCCACAAGAAACAGCCCTTCAGCTCAGCATCAGCTCCCCGCAGGCTCCCCCCACCCCTGGGTACCAGAATCGCTCACTCACTGCAATTGGAATTCAGTCTGGACAGCGAAGTCCAACCAAAGGTTTCTCACTCAGCGAAGGCTGAGTTGAGAAGTGAGGAGGGGACCTGTGGTGTCACGTGGAACTCAAGGCGCCTCACAGAGCACATGACCCAGCAACCATGGCAATGCCCCCACGGTGGAGGGGAGAGGGGAATGGCTCTGACCTGGCTGGGTGGGGGCGGGGGAGGGGCTGTGGGACGGATCTCCCAAGTCCCTCCTGAATCTGGTTCACAGCTCTGGGGTTTTTTTTTTTAAAGGTTTATTTAGTTATTTGAAAGTCAGAATTACACACCCACACCCACACCCACACACACAAACACAGTTCTTCCATATTCATCTAGCAAATTTATTTGTCAGATACTTTAAAAAATTTATTTATTTATTTGAAAGTCAGTGTTACACAGAGAGAGGAGAGGCAGATTGAGAGAGGAAGGTCTTCCATCCGCTGGTTCACTCCCCAATTGGCCGCATGGCCGGAACTGCATTGATCTAAAGCCAGGAGCCAGGAGCTTCTTCTGGGTCTCCCACATGGGTGCAGGGACCCAAGGACGGGGGCCATCTTCTACTGTTTTCCCAGGCCACAGCAGAGAGCTGAATCGCAAGTAGAGAGGCCAGGACTTGAACCGGCTCCCATATCAGATGCCGGTACTGCAGGTGGCGGCTTTACCCACTACGCCACATGCCGGCCCCCTTGTAGGTTTGGGCTGGGGGACCTGTGGCTCTGGCCTGATGAACCTCAAACATGTGCTCAGCAGATGTGAGACACAGAAGGGCACCTGTTCTGTGAGCCCACTGGTGCGCAGGGCCCAGGGCAGCACAAGTCCACAGGTAGAGGATGGGGCTGATGAGTGCCAGGAACTCAGAAGGGTTGCAGGGCTGGGGGTGAGGGGATGAATGCCAATGGGCTTGGGGCTTCCTTTTAGAGCAGAATGTTCTGGAACTTGAAAGAGGTGGTGGCTGCACAGAACTGTGAAGGCACCAAATGACAGTGCATGTAAAATAGTGGTCAGGTTGGCGCTGTGGTGTAGCAGGTGGAGCCACCACCTGCTGTGCCAGCATCCGATATGGGTGCTGGTTCGAGTCCCGGCTGCTCCACCTTGGATCCAGCTCTCTGCTATGGCCTGGGAAAGCAGTGGAAGATGCCCAAATATTTGGGCCCCTGTAATCATGTGGGGGACCTGGAAGAAGCTCCTGACTCCTGGCTTCAGATCAGCATAGCTCCAGCCATTGTGGCCATTTGGGGAATGAACCAGTGGACGGAAGACCTCTCTCTCTCTCTCTCTCTCTCTCTCTCTCTGCCTCGCTGTAACTCTTTCAAATAAATAAATTTTAAAAAAGTCAGTGGTTGATTTTATGCCTTGTGAAACTGTATCAAAATGGATTTTTAAAAATTTACTTGACAGGCAGAGTTATACACAGTGAGAGAGAGAAAGGTCTTCCATTGATTCACCCCCCAAATGGCCGCCATGGCTGGCGCTGCGCCGATCTGAAGCCAAGAGCCAGGTGCTTCTTCCTGGTCTTGCATGCGGGTGCAGGGGCCCAAGCACTTGGGCCATCCTCCACTGTACTCCCGGGGAACAGCAGAGAGCTGGATCAGAAGTGGAGCAGCTGAGACTGGAATGGGCGCCCATATGGGATGCTGGCGCTGCAGGCAGAGGATTAACCAAGTGAGCCAAGGCGCCGGCCCCCCTCCCTTTTTATTTACTTGACAGGCAGAGTAATAGACAGTGAGAGAGAGAGAGATAGAAAGAAAGGTCTTCCTTCTGTTGGTTCACTCCCCAAATGGCCACCATGGCCTTTTTTTTTTTTTTTTAAAGAAAAGGCAGGCACTGCGTCTGATGAATGCTTTGCTTCCATCCTGAACAGCAGGGTGGGCTGGGGAAGATGGGTGCAGTCCTGGCCAGGGCTGTCAAATGCCCCACGTGGCCACTGTACTGCCGGGCCCTGGAGTAGGGTTCACCAAGTCACAGCATCTCCAAGAGAGACCAGGGCCACGGTCGCCACCTTCAGCTATCTGGACCACCCATGACCCATATGACCACAATTGAAGGGGCCCCAAAGTGGAGCCCGAGCCGGCCACAAGGATCTGGGCTCATGCCTCATTCCATCCTGCCAGGCTGTGCACAGGGTACCTGGCGCCCATGTGCTGAGTGCCCAGGACTCACAGCCGTGTCACAGGCAGGCTCTGGGGAGGGCACTTCTGTCCTGCCTTCTGAGTCCCATGGGACTGCAGGCCATGCCCCACTGTCCGGCCTTCCCAGTAGCTGAGCTACTGGCCTGGGGGAAGCCTGGGGACCAGCCATGGGAGCGAGCAGGATGGCAGCGTTGGGGGCCATGACTGTGGCTGCAGCTCCCCGCAACCCCTTAGCCCCCAGGGGTGTGGGCCCCTTCCCCAGCCCCTGTAACAAACTCCTCTTCTGCTCCCCGTGGCCATAGCTGCTCCGTGATCCTTCCTTCACAGGCTGAACAGTTTTGTGCCCTTTCTACTGGCATCCATTGGGAACCTCTCCGAGGGCCCTTATCCAGTCCAGCGCTGCAGCCAGGGCGCTGCCTACTGCCCAGCCCCCACCCCCACCCCAGGGAGCGGGGTGTCCTCTCACTGGCTCCCTGGCACTTCTGGGGTGCTCTCTCATTCCCAGCCACCCAGAACCTGCCCCCATCACCCCATGCCCAGCTTAGTACTGTGTGGTTAAAACAACGTGCTCCCAATGATAATACAATCAAAAGCATGGGGCTTGCGAACTCTGCCTGAAGAATAATCCACACCTATAGCAGGGTGCACAGGTGAGCACATGGAAGAAACAGCAGGCGCGCCTGGTGCCCTGCACTGCAGCTGAGGTTTTCCAGCCAGGCGCCCTCCAGTGCTGGGCCCACCCCTCCCCAGCCCTGCCTGACCAGGGCACAAGCATTTCCCAACAGCACCACCCGGACATCAGGGTTTACAAACGGGACACTGTACTGCCAACAGCGAGGACCAGGAGACCCTGTGCTCAGCCTGCAGGGACCTCTGTTATCAAGGGGTAGCTCCCTCTTCACCCCTTTCCCTGTGGGATATGGAGCTGGTCAGCCCCGGGGCCTCTGGGCTCAGGTCGCCACGTGCTCTGTGAGCTGTGCTTGCTGAAAAATATCAGAGCTTGGAGGCCTGGGTGACAGAGTGGGAGTGGGCAGGGGGGTAAGGGAGGCCTCCAGGGCAGGGGTGGCAAATACCCAGAGTCCTTTGCACAAGCCACACCCCACAGTCAGACCTGACGCCTTCACGGCATGGTGAGCTTCGGCTGCAAAACAAGGGACCAGACTGGTGTGGACCTCCCCTCATAAGCAACATAAAATGCCCAGCACAGGCCGGGGCAGGTTCTGGCTATGGCCAAGGTCACAAAGGGAACCCAGCAGAGAGGCAGAAGAGAAAGCCAGGAACTGCACTCCCTCCCGTGTCTCAGTCAAACCCCTCCAGCCTGTCCCCAGCCTGTGAGAAGGCACAAGCTGGCTATGACAAGCCAGGAGCTCACACTTGGCTCATGACCCACGTCCCATCCCCGAGGGGCATCTGGCCAGGCCCTCAGGCTCTGCCTGCACCCGACAGCAAGGAGCAAAGAGGGCTCTGGGTGCAGCCAGACAAAGCCTGGAAGGGTCCCAGGGACTCCAAGTCACCCAGCAGCCCTCAGGAAAGGGGGCTTCGATGACTTGAATGTGCAGGCGCCCAGTCCAGGGCCCGGATGCAGACCCTTGTGAGGTTCCAGCCTGCAGAGAAGCCGGGGGTGGAAACCCAGTGAGGAGGTGAGCGGTGAGCAGACGGCGATGCTCCATGTGTTCCTGAAGGCAAAGGAAACAGGGCCATGGCCAACAGAGGAGGGGACTTTGGGAGGCTCAGGGCTCACACGTGTCCTCAGAATCGGAGGCCAGGAAGAGGGTGGTGCTGAGTTCTGAAGACCCCAGAGCCCAGGCTTTCACTATTCAATGAGAGCTTTTATAAAACCCCCTCTGTCTTGGGGCCAGCGCTGTGGTTGGTTAAACCTCTGCCTGCAGTGCCGGCATCCCATATGGGCGCTGGTTTGAGTCCTGGCTGCTCCACTTCCAATCCAGCTCTCTGCTATGGCCTGGGAAAGCAGTAGAAGATGGCCCAAGTTTGCACCCACGTGGGAGAAATGAATGAAAGGGTAAGAGGAAGCAAGTGTTTCCTGGATACAGACACACAGAACTCCAACAATCACTATATAATACATACCTTTAAGAGAGGAACAGGTATCTTGGCTACAGCAGAAGGTTCACCAAGCGTGTTGTGGCTCCGGCCTTGACACACACGTCCACGGCATCCCTGACACTCCCCGTGGCCTTCCCGTGTCTGGGTGGATGGAACGGAGGGGTCAGAAGCCCTCCTGCTCCGCTCCACGCCTTTGAGCCCTGTCTCCCACCGTCCACGATGTCTGTCTACCCACGGCCAGGAGGGGAGAAGGTGTCTGCTCCACAGCTCGCAGGGGAGTGGGCGGGGCAGCCCCCTCAGAAAAGAAAGATGGCGCCTCTCATGTCCCCCAGTGCGGGCTCCTTGGAGACAGCCATGGGTACATCTGGAGTCACTGGAGGAAATGTTCCAGAAGCTGTCGAGTAGGCACACTCCCATTGTCAGCTGATAACTGAAGAGGAAAACAAGTGAAAACTGAAAATTGAATAGAAAACTGAAAATTGAATAGAAAAATAAAAATCAATAGAAAGCTCTTGGTCCGTAGTGTTTACCATTTGCTGCTTCACAGCCCTGTGTCAGAACTGGGGACACGAAGCTCCAGCAAGACCCAGCATTGGCTCCCACAAAACTCAGCTGGGTGGGAAGGGGGCACCGACACTGTCGGTCCCACATTCCCTTAAAAAGAAGCACGAGATGGAGCCGTCCCTTGTCAGCGCATTTCCGGCGCCTACTGTTCTTGTGCCTGACAGGCCCACCCCGTGTGCTGCCTGTGCACTCTGGAGAGAACTCATGCAAATGGGGGAGGGGCGGGCCAGGTCCCCCCTCCAGGCATAAATCCCTGAGAGCCAAACCCAAGGAGAAATAGCTGGAGTGCAAATGATCAGCGACTCGGGGTGACAATGAGGAGTGTGTGTGTGCTGAGCATTCCAGAACCTTCCTTCAAAGTGCCAGCACAACCCACAGGCCCCTGCTTGTCTAGACTCCTGCTTCCAGCACGGGCTCCTGCCTGCTTTGTCCCACAGCCTTCTGCCCAGACTCCTGTTTCCCACTGGATGCTGTGGGTCACTAGGAGGGGACGGCCTTTGCCGTTAAGCACACACAGGTGCCTGAGTCACAGCAAATCCTGTGTACAATGACGAACACCAGGTTCTAAAAGGCCAGGGCCTTTGGGTAAGGATTGAACCCAGGTGGGACCCTGCAGATGGCGCTCAAGACACAAGCAGCCCCAGACTTCCTTCTTCCCATCTCGGGGTCCCTCTGCAGTGACAGCAGAGCACCATCTGGGCCTTCAGAGCCCCCCCTTCCCTGACAGGGGCTGTTACTTTGTTGCTGTGCGTGTCCCCTTATGAGCCTCGCCACTGTCCTGATGCTGCCCTCGTTCAGGTGGCTGGGGTAGATAAAAAAAAAACCCCAGGCTGGACCCGCCACATGTGGATGGCATCTGTGGCATCCACTTTTCGCTGGTCTTCAAAAGCATAGAAATCACTTTTCCTGGGTTAAGACAGAAAAGGAAAACTTTCAATAACCACAAGCAGTCACTGGCCAGGCCCAGCCTGCTCTTGGTCTAGGTCAGCTGAAGGTGGGAAGCTCAGGTCCAGGTTACCCCTGGCGTGGGCCCTGGGAGAGGGCGTGCTAATTCTCCTCCTTCCCCCTAGGAAGTAGGGGGAGCCCGGCCAACCCCCTGCTTCCCAAGGACAGGCTTGGCGCTTGTCAGGGAGCTGGACACCTGGCCAGGATGTGTCCAGCAGGCTCTCCCTGGCCAGTCCGGGGCTGCCTCCACCTCCACTTTTTTCCTGGGAGCAGGGTCATTGGCCTCCCACCCTGGGTTGCACGAAGAGCACCCCCCACCCCCTGCTGGCTTCTGGCACTCTTCCCTGTCACTTCCTCCTTTCTTCACCATCAAGCCGTGAGCTCCAAGTCCCCTCCAGGCCTCTCATCTTTGCTGAGAGCAAGGCTGGGACCCAGGAGTGTCACCTCCCAAGGCCCTCCTCTGGATGCTGCCCTGCCTGCTGCTGACACGGTACAGCTGCTGCAGGACCACGGGGAGGGAGAGAGGCAGAGTCACAAGACATCTCCAGGGGCTGGCGCTGTGGTGCAGCAGGTGCAGTGCCAGCATCCCATATGGGCGCTGGTTCTAATCCTGGCTGCTCCACTTCTGATCCAGCTCCCTGCTAATGCACCTGGGAAAGCATCAGAAGATGGCCCAAGTGCTTGGGTCCCTGCCACCCACATGGAGACTCGGATGCAGCTCCTGCCCCAGCCCTGGCTGTTGTGGCTATTTTGGGAATGAACCAGCAGATACAACATCTACCTCTGTAACTCTGTCTTTGAAATAAATCAATAAAAAAAAAAAGAAAAAGAAAAGAACTCCTCCAAGTTCCCAGCAAGGCCAGCACATGTTCCCATTTTTTTCCCCCCAGGACTGGGCCAGGAATTCTCACCCAGAACAAGAACCCCTCCCATGCCCCAGACCCAGGGAACTTCCAGGGACCAAGTGTGTGGTCCCAGGCCCGCCAAGTACTCGGGCCCCGCCCACCTCCCCAGAGTCCCTGAGGCCCTGAACCCCGCCCACCATACCCCTGGGACCCCCTCAGTTCCTGGGCCCCCTCAGCTCTTGAGTCCAGGATTCCACACTGAACGCTGGGACAACCTCTTCTCCAACCCTTCGCCAGGGCCCCGCCCACCATCCTGGACTCTCTAAGTCTCCGAGACTCAGCTTCAGTCCCCGGGACCCTGCCCGTCTCCGCAGAACCCCCTCAGGCCCGTGCTCAGGACCCCCGCCTCAGCCCCCGAGCCCCGCCCACTACCCGGGACCACTCCTCTCCCGCCCCGTGCCGGGACCCGCGCTCCTAACGTCCCCGGGCGCGTTAAACAGCGCCGCCGCCTCACCCTCAGCGAGGAGCGCCACCCCGTCTCGCGCTTTCTGGCCCAGGGCGGCCCGCTCTGGTGGGGAGGGGGCGCCGCGCCGGGAGCGGTCCCGCCGCCGAGCGCTTCCGGGTCAGAGGGCGCGCGACGGGATGCGCTCGGGGCAAATTCGGAGGCGGGGCTGGGCGCGGGGCTCCGGCGGGGTCCCCTCTGCTAGCGGCGGCGCCGTGGAGGAAGCCGTGGGCGACCTGAAGCAGGCGTTGGCCTGCGTGGCTGACCCCACCTGAGGGGCGCGGCCCCCAGCACCGCCAGGGAGGCCGGCAGGCCTGACCCGAGGAGACCCCCCTCCCGCCGCCGCCCCGATCTGGCTTCATCTGAAGGCACCCTCAGGCACCCTGACCGGAGCTGGAAGTTGGGTGTAGGAAGGTCCAGCATTAGGAAGAGCAGGAAACGCGGTGACGTCACGGCGTTTCTCAGGGCATTTCCCAGTGGATTTCCTGTCTTTCCATCGTCAGCGTGTCTCCCTCCCTGTGACTTGGAGAAGGGTAGGACCTGGCCTCTGGCTGTCTTGGGCGGTGGGCAGCGGGGTCGCGTAGACCTGCTCTGTTGCGTTGGCTGCGTTCACCCCGGTCTCAGGGATGAAGAGGAAGATCCCTTCCTCTACCAAACAGCTGTTTTGTGGGCACAGTTCTGGGTGCTGCACGGAGTTGCAGTGGGGTCCAGAAACGCCTACGCGCAAACCGCAGGGGCGTTCAGATCAGAGACCTCTGTGCACAAGCGCACTAGCTATGCACTGGGGACAGCACAGGGCAGGCACAGAGGTGTGACGTCAGAACCAGCTCAGGGGCCGGCGCTGTGACATAGTGGGCTAAGCCTCTGCCTGCGGTGCCGGCATCCCATTTGGGTGCTGGCTCGAGTCCCAGCTGTTCCACTTCCGATCCAGGTCTCCTATGGCCTGGGAAAGCAGTGGATGATGGCCCAAGTGCTTGGGCTACTTCCCATGTGAAAGACCCAGAAGACACTCCTGGCTTCAGATCGGCCCTGCCCTGGCCATTGCAACTCTTTGGAGAGTGAACCAGCAGATGGAAGACCTCTCTCTCTTTCTCTGTATATCTGCTTTTCAAATGAATTAACATTAAGAAAAAAAGCTCCACTCCTCTGTTCATCATTACATATTGATATGTTTCATAATTGAAAGATGAGAGTAAACACATCTACTAAGGAATATGATGGAGTAGATTCCAGAAGGCGCCTGTTGTGCGCTGGTTGAGGGAGACACTTGGATCTGAAACAGAAACAGGACCCTAAAGGAGAGAATCAAAGCCAATGACCAGTTAGAAAACGCATAGATGTATTAAGTTCCACTATTAGGAAGAACCGTTAGTGATACACCAGGAATGATGGAGATAAAGGAGAAAGGGGCAGGTGCTGTGGTGCAGTGGGTTAACTGCCCTGGCCTGGGGCGCCAGCATCCCATACAGCTGCTGGTTCTAGTCCCATCTGCTCCTCTTCCGATCCAGCTGTCTGCTGTGGTCTGGGATAGCATCAGAGGATGACCAAGTCCTTGGGCCCCTGCGCCCACGTGGGAGACCTGGAGGAGGCTCCTGGCTTCGGATTGGTGCAGCTCTGGCCATTGCGGCCAATGGGGGAGTGATCCATCAGCTGGAGGACCTCTCTCTCTCTTCTCCTCTCTCTGACTTTCAAATAAATAAGTAAATCTTTAAAAGAAAGAAAAAAGACAGTGGCCACAGATTTCCCCAACCTACACTCAGTAAATGACCCTGAGTTGCCAGCTGTAGTCTGACTATGGGAGTAGCAAAACACGTAACATGTTTTCCAGTAAAACGAACAAAAATCTACTCAGTATGAACACATCATGTGTGGAGAACTTATTCTTTAGATAGCCTACCATCCCATGAGACGATGGTGAATTCCAACTGCTTCTGTGTTTGTAAAGTCTTTGGGAAAGCAGGAAAGTAAGAAAAGGAAAGATGTTTAGATACTGAAGAGAGCAGAAGGTGTAAAGAGCAAGTTGCTCAAGTTAGACAGGTGGAAATCAGAGTAACACCAACTCCAGGAAGCAAAATGAAGGAGAAAACTCTACTTTCACAATCTGGTCATGAAACCAGGGTTGCTGGTCCAGGCATTTGAGTCCTACGATTATCAGTGCTTCCTTAGCTCCAGAGCAATGGACGCTTGTGTAGTTTCCAGAGCCTTCTTTATGTCTTTATTCCTCAGACTGTAGATGAAGGGGTTCAGCATGGGGGTGACCACAGTGTACATCACCGAGGCCATGGCAGGTGAGTGCGAGTTGTGGGTAACAGCTAAAGTGAGGTAGACACCTAGACCTGTGCAATAGAATAAGGAGACAATGATAGGTGAGAGGCACAGGTGGAGAATGCTTTACACTTCCCCTGAGCTGAGGGGACTGCACGGATGGAGGAGATGATCTTAGAGTAGGAGCACAGGATCCCAGCCAGTGAACCAACAGCCAGCAGCACAGGTATGAAGTATATGACCATGTCATTAAGAAAAGTGTCAGAGCAGGCAAGATGGGCCACCTGATTCAGTTCACAGAAACAGTGATGGATTTCCAGGGGTGCACAGGAGGACAGCCACAGCACCATTAAGCTTTGTAACAAGCATGCAGGACACTGATGACCCAGGATACCAGGACCAGCTGCACACAGAGCTGGGGGTTCATGATGACCATGTAGTGCAGGGGGTGACAGATGGCCACGAACCTGTCATAGGCCATCACAGCTAGGAGAAAATTGTCCAGCTGTGCAAAAAGCGGGAAGAAGAACATCTGGGTGATGCAGCCTGCATAGCTGATGGCTTTGCTCTGTGTCTGGATGTTCACCAACATCTTGGGGATGGTGGTGGAGGTGAAGCAGACGTCCACCAAGGACAGGTTGGAGAGGAAGAAGTACATGGGTGTGTGGAGGTGGGGGTCTGAGAGGATGGCCAGGACGATGAGCAGGTTCCCAGCCACAGTGACCAGGTACCTGGAGAGGAAGAGCCCACATATGAGGGGCTGCAGTACTGGGTCCTCTGAGACTCCCAGGAGAGGAAATCTTGAAGTTTGTGAATCATTCTCTGATGCCAGTGGTTGAGACGACTACCAGGAAAGAGATAATTACATGATCACTGAGGAGCCATTGCTCACATAGGGGAAATTCTACCATTTATATGTTGCAGGCAAGCACTGATTTATATACACTGTGCATGGATCTGGTCCCAAGTAGGACTCATTTAGTCCATTTGAAACTTCTTATTAGCATCTCTAAGCAGGGTTTCCTTCCCACTTAGCATTTGCCCTAAAGTGCATGTATGTATTCTACTACTTTAATAAGTAATGATCTCCTACTGTATAAATTGACTTCCAATCATGTTTCAAGTAGTAACCAGTCAGCAAGTCTAATACCTTGGAAGAACAAAATTGCCTAAACCCAATTAATGGAGATGGAATATAAGAGAATGAATAAATGCGGTAAATAAAATGAAAGCAGCTATAAAGGAGAATGGGTCCACGGGTGTTCTTTTTTTTACATTTATTTATTTATTTATTTGAAAGAGTTACAAACAGAAAGCAAGGCAGAGAGACAAAATGAGAGTGCGAAGTCTTCCATCCACTAGTTCACTCCCTAATTGGCTGCAACAGCTGGATCTGCACCAGTCTGAAGCCTGGAGCCAGGAGCTTCTGGGTCTCCCACATGGGTGCAGAGGCACAAAGACATGGGTCATCTTCCACTGCTTTCCCAAGCCATAGGAGAGAGCTGGTTTGGAAGTGGAGCAGCCTAGGACTCGAACCAGTAACCCAGATGGGATGCCAGCACTGAAGGTGGTGGCTTCACCTGCCATGCCACAGCACTGCCCCCCCAGGGTGTTCTTTTCTAGTTGTCCAAGTAGGACTGGAAACAGAAGGGCTCATTATCCAGAGACCCAGAGCCACGAGGTACTTTGTGGAAGTATGGATCATGTCAAGGGTATGATGAGGGCCAAGACCCCCTCGTGGCTGTTATTACACAACAGGAGCGCTCCAAGGGAAGTGAGGATGGCAGTGGTGATGAGCAAGAGGGAGAGTGGGGTGGAGTGGGGACACAGGATCTGAGGTTGAGGTGCATCAACACAGACTCCATCATCCTCACAGGAGCCTCTTGCACCTCATTCCTCTTTTAACTTTATTTATTTACTCTAACATAAAGAGAACAGATTTAACGCAGTTCTTGGATACAATTTTAAGAATAGCATGGTATTTCTCTTCCTCCCTGCTCCTTCTTCCTCTCTCTCTCTCTCCTCTCTTTTTCTCTCTCTTCTCTCTCTCCCTCTTTCCCCCCTCCTCCTCCCTCTACCTCCCTCCTCTCCTCCCTCTCCCACTCTTCCTTTCACATTTTTGAGATGACATGTTGTTACTATTCTCTGTGTAATTCTTCAGTTTTCCAAGATTGAGAAACTCCTTTAAATATTAAAAAAATGTAAACAGATGCAAAAATTTTTGAGGTTCCACATGATATGTGAGTACCAGTCTACATTGTGCTATGTCCAATCAGTGTGTGTCTATGAGTACATACATCTATCTACTCAAAATGAAGCATTTCTTTAGGGTCCAAAACATCCAAACTCCTATATTCTAGTTCTGTTTCAGAGAAATTTGTCATACATTTCCATGATCTTAGTTGCCCTACTGTGCAATAGAACCCAGCAATGTCTTACTTCTCCCTAGCTGTAACCTAGTGAACACGGAACAAGATTTCTCCACCCTTGGCCCATATTTCCCTCTCGATTCTCTAATATCCACCATTAGACTTTATCATTGTGTTTGAAAAGGCAACCACTGATTTGAACGGGATTCCTTCTAAGTACCGTATGTTGATTGAGTTCTTGTTTGAGTAACATTGTCACCTTAGAATAGTGATTCCAGGTAACTCAGCTTGAACATTGTTCTCATCTCACAGCAGGTGCACACAAGCACACAAACACACAGAGACAAACACAGACACAGATACTATAGCCTTCTGGGGCCTTGTTCATACCATGCCCTTCTCATCCCTGGCTACCCCAATAGGGCAACATGTGGACATGACACATGTGGGCCAAATCAAGTTATTTCCTGCAAAAAAGTGCACATTTCACCCAAAAGTTCCAGCTTGAAAACCTCCTGGTTTTAACCTGGCACAACTTAGCCATTGCAGCTGTTTGAAGCGTGAACCAGTGGATGCTAGTTTCTCTCTCTATTTCTCTCTCTTTGTAACTCCACCTCTCAAATAAATAAATAAGTCTTTAAAAAATACGAACAGGAAATGAATCTAATGTTACCACTTCACTTATGTGACGATCCCAACATGACTCTGAGTGGAAAAGCTGATGCTGAGTGAAGGATAAAGAATTGATACCAAGTGATGGTGGAGGCAATGCAACCTTCAGAAATAGATACAACTAGAAAAGCCCAGAGACACTGTAGGAAAAAACAGGAAGAGAAGATGGATGTACTTATACACAAGATGATTTTTCAGCTTGAATAAGCTCAGAAACATTCTGCATTGACAAAGCAAAGGCAGGGGTAGGGCAGTAAGACAGCCTTATGGACCTGGTAACACACTTGACTATCCCTCAAACACACACACACACACACGTAAACACATGTGCACACACATGTACATACATGAACATAAATGCGAACACATATACACTCACATAACCACCACACATGCACACTCACACACATGTGCACACCCATGCACACACTCCCACTCCCACACACAAGCACACACAGGCACACACATGAAGTGACAGACAGCAAAGTTTTCAGTTTGAAAGACTATCTCCTGGTCGGAATCTGTCTCATCACCAGAAAATATCAATCTGCACCATTTCAAAAATTAAAAACAGCAGAGGTGGATGTCTGGTGCTGCATTTAAGATGCTTGCCTGGGACAATCACATCCCAGATCAGATTGCCTGGGTGTGAGTTGTGGCTCTGCTCCTGATTCCAGCGTCCTGCTAATGCACCCTCTGGGAGGTTGCAATGACGACTCAGCTGTGTGGGTTTTCTGCCAGTCACACAGGAGACCCACACTGAGTTCTGGGCATGGGACTTCTTTGGCCTGGCCCAGTCTTAGCTGTTGTAGGCATTTTCAGCATGAACCAGGGGAGAGTGACTGTATTGCTTGTATGTCTTTGTCTATTTCTTTTTGTTTCTCCCCCATTCAAGTAAAATAAAGATAAATAAATATTAAAACAGAAATGCCCACAATTGCCTGTCTGTCCCTCAGAGCTGCCACCCTCTTTTTTTAAGATTTTACTTATTTATTTGAGAGGCAGAGTTACAGACACACACACACACATACAGAGAGAGAGAGAGAGAGAGAGAGAGAGATCTTATATCTGCTAGTTCACTCCCAAAATGGCTGCAACAGCTGGAGCTCTGCCAAGCCAGGAGCTTCTTCTGGGTCTCCCACATAGGTGCAAGGGCCCAAGCACTTGGGTCATCTTCTGAAGCTTTCCCAGGTGCATTATCAGGGAGCTCTATTGGAAGAGGAGCAACTGGGACTAGAACCAGCACCCATTTGGGGTGCCAGTACTGCAGACAGAGACTCAGCCCACTACGCCAGAGTGTCAGCCCCCACTATCTTTTTTTACACCCTTAATTGCCAAGATTCTTGGATCCCTGTTCCATTTTTACCAGAACTGTTTTGTGCTTCTGAATTCCTGCTCCGACAGGCCTTCCACTAGGACCATCTAATTGTCAACAATGAATCGCGTGTTGCTGGTTTCAGTGGACACTCCTGTGTTTTGACACCATAAATAATTACAATAATTAAGCATGAGAGCAAATGAACACCCCAATCTCTCTATCTGAAATAGACTGGATTGGCTATCAGGTGACCTTGGGTAAGCATTCTCAACTTCCACTCTGGGCCTTTCCTGCAGGGCCTGCTGGGCTCTCAGAATCACCTGCATGGGTTCTCTGGGAGGAAGGTCTCTGGGTAGAGGTGTGACTCCTCCAGGGATGGCTGATGATGGACACTGAAGCTCTGTCCCACACAGACAGCAGGAAGGAGTCAAACATCAGTCCCTGAGCCAGATGAAGATTGCAGTGAATTTATAGCTCCCCGTCTCTGCACAGTAGGCACATCTTCCTCATGGGGCTCAGACCTATGAGCACCTGATTTCCCAGTAGGGACCTTCGTCTGGGCAGAAACTTTCTGGCCTATCCTCTGTTCCCAAGAGACCAAGTTGAAGTCATGTGTGCTCAGAGTTGATTATTCCTTTTCTGTGGATTCTCCTGCCTCCCAGAGGTCAAAGCTTTCAGCCACCAACCCTATTTGATTCAACACTTTCTCCAGAATGCAAGACAGAAGAACACATCTTCAAGAAGTCCCTAGAGTTCTCCAATCCAATAGTTTGATTTGGGACGCAGCTGCAGGCATGTCAGGGACAATGGTATTTCTCTCTTCAAGAAGGGTAAACTGTTTCTCTATGTTAAACAAGGGCTCCTCACTTGTAATGAGTTGAAATTTTTATAACTTTTTTTATAAATACAACTTTAAGAATATAGTGGTTCTTCCCACCATACCCCTCTCCCCCCATGAATTAGAAGTTATATTGCATTTTGGCAGCTGTCACTTAGTTTTTCATATGTCTGTGAGTTAAAAGAGAGGTATTAGTATTTTTTTATCTGACACATTTTATGGGGGACATTGAACATTGGGTACATGTATACACTGTGTTATGATCAAATCAGGGTAATTAGCATATCAATCACCTCAAACAAGGAGGATTTCTTTAAGATGGGAACATTCAGCATCCTCTCCTGTATCTATTTTGGGATATACTGAGCTTTATTGATAGCTGTAGTTGTCTTACTGTGCAGTAGACACCAGAATTTATTCCTCTTGTCCACCAGAATCTTGTACCAATTGACCAGCCACTCCCCAGTCTCCTCTTCCACCTACACTCACTGACATTTGCTAAACACTCTTTCCTTGTCTATTTCTATGAGACCAACTCTACAAGATTCTACTTACCAGTGAGTCATGTGGTATTTGTCCTTTCGTACCTGGATTTTTGCACTTATCATGATGTCCTTCAAGGACAAGGACATTCATATTGTCTAGAATGAGACAATGTCCTTCTTCCTATAGCTGAATAGTATCCCATTGTGTATTAACACGCAAAATTCAATAGTTTTTGTATACACAGACAATGCCATGGCTGAGAAAGAACTTCTAAGATCAATCCTATTCACAATAGCTACAAAAAATTAAATCCTTTGGATTAAATTTAACCAAGAACGTCAAAGATCTCCATGATCAAAAATAACCTTTAAAGAAAGATAAAGAGAAAGATGGCAGAATAGGAATGGAGTTCACTGATAGTCCGGGAAAAGATAGTTTAATAAAAGTGGAAATACTGTAGTTTCAAGGAAGAGTTAAGGAAAAAACAGCAGAGAAAACTCTTCTGGAACTAGTGGGACATGGTGGACCTATGTGGAGGGCACTGGTGCCCATGGCTCGGAATCCTGGCTGCCGAGCCTATGCACCAGTGCTGGAAAGGGAGGTGAGGCAAAAAAAAAAAAAAAAAAAAACCCTCAGTAGCCCGAGACACTGGTGGGAAAGCAGAAGGAAGAACCTAGAGGGAACAAGGCTTGAAGCCCCATGGGGGAAAGTTCACCAGCCTAACTAGAGGGGAAAAAAATAAAAGGGACCAGTATGAACATGATTCTCTCTCTCCACTCACCTTACAAAGGCAAGCAAGACAAAGAGCAGGTGCCATTTTGAACATACGTAACAGCTCGGCCACCTCAGGGCTGCTCCCGCCCTCAGCCAAACAAAAAAACTTGACTCTGGTGGGGAGAAATAACAGGAGGTTAACACCTAGTGAATGTGTGGAGCTTATGAACTGGGCTGTGAAAAAAAAAACTGAGGGTGTGTGGGAGAACTCACGGAGTGCCTGAGACCTGAGTACTCAGTGGGAGATGCCACAAATTCAGTAACCTTGGCTATACGGTGGGAGATTGCAGGGGAATCTGAGCTTACACTGAGGACTGCACAGATCCTTTGTGTGGTCCTGGGGACAGAGCAGATGAATATTATACTCATGGGGATAGAGCTCAGGCACTGATTACATTCAAGGACAATAGCTCAGCTGTGTGGAATTACTTCACTTCTGAATAAGAGAGAGAGAGAGATTTACCACACCTAACTTGGGTGTGTCACCTTTGGCACACCTTTAACCCTGAAGAACCGAACAGAGCAGGCAGGCCACACCTATCACAAGCCTCTAAGGGTCCATCAAAAGCAGACAGTCCACTTAATCTAGGGTCATAGTATACAGAGAAAAACCACCACAGCAAGGGGAAAAAATAAAGAAAGAAGAAACCAAAGAATATCTCCACAATGCCAAGCAACAAACGCAGAAACCAAGGAAACAAGAACAAGGAAGACATTATGATATGTCCCCAAATGAACAAGACACCCCAATTCAAGGTTATGAAGATGATGAGATAGAAGAAATGCAAGATATTGATTTCAAAAAATTTATGATAAGAACATCTAGAAGTTCTCAAAAAACAAATTCTTGAACTACAGAAATCCTTACTGGACAGGGTAGAAAATCTCTCTCATGAAAATAAAATCTTAAGGAGGAATCA